TCCGCTATTGCTACCCCAGCCCGCCAGTCCGCCAGTCCCTTCACATCTTCCGGGCGCCGTTTAGCTCGGCGAACGGCACTATTCACCGCACCAACCCAGACGAGAGCCTTCTCGCAATCACTATCAAAGCGCTTCACTGACGAGGATGGTAACTTCGATCCTCGCACATTGGATCGGGAGTCGGACGACGTGGATGTGTGCATTGTTGGCGGCGGTACGTGCTTCGTGTCTCATTTATTCTTTACAGAAGCAGCCTAACTAAGCGTTGGTTTACTGCAGGTCCCGCCGGTCTCGCCGCCGCAATTCGCTTGAAGCAACTTGCCAACGAGGCAGGCAACGAAGAGTTTCGGGTTATTCTCCTGGAGAAGGCTGGTGAATTGGGCGCCCATATTGTCTCCGGAAACGTTTTGGAACCAACTGCCCTCAATGAGCTGCTCCCCGACTGGTTGTCCGAGGACAACCCCTCGCGCTTTGAGGGTGCGACCCCCGCTAAGACTGAGAGAATGCGTTTCCTAACAAAGAATGGCTCATACCCGCTCCCCACTCCGCCACAGATGCACAACGAGGGGAACTTCATTGTCAGTCTGAACGAGCTAACCAAGTGGCTTGGAGAGCGCGCGGAAGAGGTTGGTGTGGAGGTGTACCCAGGGTTCGCAGCCAGCGAGATGGTCTATGCCCCAGATGGCTCGGTCAAGGGCGTTGCGACCAACGACCTGGGGATCGCTCGGGATGGCAAGCCCAAGGATACATTTGAGAGAGGAATGGAGTTCCATGCTCGTGTCACGCTTCTTGCTGAGGGCTGTCACGGCAGTTTGACCAAGCAGGTGATGAAGAAATACGATCTTCGACGCGACAGCCAGCCGCAGACATATGGACTTGGAATCAAGGAAGTCTGGGAGATTCAGCCTGAGAAGTTCCGATCGGGTGAGATCACCCACTCGATGGGATACCCTCTTCCCAAGGATACCTACGGTGGAGCCTGGATGTACCACTTTGGAGACAACATGGTGAGTATCGGTCTGGTAGTAGGACTGGACTACCCGAACCCATGGCTTTCACCGTACGGAGAATTCCAAAAAATGAAACACCACCCCATGTTTAAGGAGGTTCTCGAGGGTGGAAAGTGCATTTCATACGGGGCCCGAGCACTCAACGAAGGTGGTTTCCAGTCGATCCCCAAGTGCGCATTCCCCGGAGGTGCCTTGATTGGTGACACGGCCGGCTTTTTAAACGTTCCGAAAATCAAGGGTACCCACACCGCAATGAAATCAGGAATGTTAGCCGCCGAGGCTGCCTTCTCGGCGCTTAAGGGTGACAATCAAGGAACCGTCTTTTTGTTTGACTATGAGAAATCCCTACGGGATTCATCCATTTGGAAGGAGCTCTCCGAGGTCCGTAACATCCGGCCCTCATTCAACACTCCCCTGGGCTTCTTCGGTGGACTTCTCTACTCCGGTCTCGAGGCCTACCTGCTCAAGGGCCGAGTGCCATGGACGCTCAGCCACCACGGCACGGACGCAGCGGCTACCAAGCTTGCTTCTCAATATGAAAAGATTGTTTACCCCAAGCCAGATGGAGAGCTCAGCTTCGATATCTTGACCAGTGTCAGCCGCACCGGCACCAACCACGAGGAAGACCAACCGGTTCATCTGCAAGTGAAGGATTGGGATAAGCACACGGACCTCGCATGGCCTGCTTACAAGGGTATTGAAAACCGGTTCTGTCCCGCAGGCGTCTACGAATATGTGGAGGACCCTACCAAACAGCACGGGGTTCGATTCCAGATCAACTCACAGAAGTAAGTCCCTCTGAGTAATATTTTGGATAATATTGGATCTATACTAACCTATTTTCCAGTTGCATTCACTGCAAGACTTGTGATATCAAGGTTCCCACACAAGATATTAATTGGCAAACACCTCAAGGTGGAGAGGGACCCAAATACATCATGACTTAGGCGTAATATAGGGACATAGTAGGAAGAATGGAATGTATATAACCCAAAATAGGCAATCCAAAAAAAAGACCCCATGGGGTTTGGCAGAACCGTGGAATGACAGTGGAGAGTTCCACGAGGGATGAGCCTTGCTTCCGTCACATTTATACACATATGTAGATATATACGAAGTACGTTGTAGGCATAGATCGAAATATTATAGATGTATCATATCAACTGTGAACTATCAACTAAGACTATTCCCCTCTTGAGGTGGAACCACGTGGATCAAAAAGTGAGGCGGCCAAAGTTGCTAGTCCACCGCCAGGTACTTTCTCTTCTTCCCCTCTCTGTATCTTTTGTCTATTTGAACTGTTTGAAAGTGCAGTCAACCCCCTGGATCGTTTGTCGGGTTACACTTTACGCGCGCTTTCCTGCAGCACGCAGTCCATAACTTCTCTGCATTCCCGTCTTTTCGACCTCTTCTATCTTCGGGATTTCCCTTTGCCAGGTCTTTTTTTCTTCGATTCATCAATCGCTTATTTCACAGCCATGACTGAAGTGTCCTCAACCCGCCTTTATCTTGGGAATCTTCCCCGCAACGGTATGGCACCTGATCGCTCTTTCCTGACTTTTGGAGAACACACGCACCATCATGCATGACCCGGTCGCTTCACTGGTCGCTGATCCCTCGTGTTCTTATCTGAAAAGCCCACCTCGGCCCACCCTTCCCAGGGTGAGCAAATGGGGAGCTTCAGCTACATCGAACAGCTTCCGCCTCGGCCATCTAACCGGTGTTTCGGGAGTCCTAGGAGAACTGATGCGCTAACCAGCTTTATCTTATCTATTTCAGTGACCAAAAATGACATCGAGGAGCATTTCAGCAGCCATGGCTCCGGTAAGATCACGGAGATCAAGTTGATGAACGGGTTCGGCTTCATCGAATATGACGACCAGCTGGATGCCAGAGATATTGTCCCCGGTAAGAACAACGCTCGCCATATTTCACTCATTGTGTGCAGACTTACTAACCTCATCTTCCTGCAGCATTCCGTATGACCCCATGACCTCTCCACCGATTACCTCTCGCTTATCAATACCACAGATGGCAGTGACTTCAAAGGCGAGCGACTCACCGTTCAGTTCGCCCGCGGCCCGCGCCGCAAGGAGGCTTTCCCCGGACCGCCAGACCGCAATGCTCTCCCTCGTCCACGTCGCACTATGTTCCGCATGCAGATTTCCGGTCTTCCAGAAACAAGTTGGCAGGTTAGCAGCCCAAATCCATTCCCTCCCGGAGTTCCTGATGTAGATTCCACAAACCCGCCTCTCTACTCATCCCACACATGCTTCCAGTCCATTGCTCTCTGTGCCGTCGGTTGAGCCAAGGATCCTGGGGTACTAATCTATAAGCACTCCTCTCCTGGTGACTGAGAAATGCTTTTATAGCTTTTGCTTTCAACCTCGAGAGTTGAGGACTGCTCCTCAATCCTTGCATGCTCATCATACCTTGCTTTGTCAGACCCATGGAACTTTTCCTGGGACTTTTGGATGCCGGTATAAAATGGCCATTCTGGATACACCGCCTCGGACTGGACATGGAGTGCTTACCTTTTTTCTCCACATTTGCCGGACACCTTACCTTGCCTGGACCTGGACTCACCATGCATCGAATAGGACCTGAAAGACTTCGCCCGCCAGTCTGGACTGGACGTGGTGTACTCTGAGACTGGCCGAGAACAGGGTAGAGGGTAGGTGAACCGTATTCCGCGAGAGACCCTTCCACATTAACATTGAACCAAGGTTTGTGGAATTTGAAACCGCCAACGACCTGAAGACCGCCGTGGAGAAACTGGACCAGCGAGAGTTCAAGGGCTCCGTTGTATCTTGTGTCGCCGATGTAAGCGCCTAACCTGACTCGGAACTGGAGGAACACCGTCTCACCAAATACCAGATTCAGAACTTTGAGGAACGCCCCGTTCGTGACCCATACCGGTCTCGTTCCCCACCCCGTCGCCCTTACCCTGCCACCATGGAGGAATACGACCGCCGGATCCCTCCACGTGGCTACAGTCCTCGGGAGCACTACCGTGAGCGGTCGCCGATTCCTATCCGCCGCGATCCCTACTATGAACGGGATGGCTATGCCCGCCGGACTCCCCCTCGTCCTCGGATGGAAGACTACCCACCTCCACGTCGCCCCTATGAAGACCCCTATGAGACCCGGCCTCCCCCGCCTCCTCGCCACTATGATGATCCTTACCTAGCTGCTCGTGGTTATGGTCGTCCTCGCTCTCCGCCTAGAGGCGAGTATGTGCCTTACGACCGTCCTCGTTACTGGTAGATAGTGCCGGGTCTTGATTGGATTTACTGCATATTCTTTTCTACCATCCTTTTTTTGACCTTCGCCAAATACCCGCAACGTCTCGTACTGATTTCATGGTGTCATGATCTTTTTTCACCTGCCGAGGTTTTGTCCAGCGTGTTCTCGCGGTCGGGTGCTTTTCTTTTTTTCCTGGCGACTGGACAGCGCAAGTTCACAATCATTTATTTTTTTCCCCCTGATAGCTTTGGGGTGGCTCGAGGCTAAACGGTTGTTTCCCTATGGTTCTCTTGTCCATCCTGGACTATTGTCTTTGTGTTAGCATCTGAAAATCTTAATCCTTTTATTTGATGTATTTCTTCTGTAATATTCCTGAGGCCTATTTGTCCATAATGACCTTACATTCAAATAGTTGGTTGGACTAGAGTAGTGTAAAACTAGTGTTTATTTCTAGGATTTCTTGGATTCAATATGTTACGACCAAGATATATATATATAAGCAATGTGATCATGGCAAACTCCAAGTTTAAAACATATTGAAAGAAATACATTCAACATCCTAGAACAAGCCACCATCTCTATTTGTCCATCATTCTGCAAAAACATATGGAAATACCCCTGTGGGTTTCTCTCGTCATGATCTACAACCCTCCACGGGTGCCCCGCCAAAAAAAAACCTCCCCTCTCTTCCAATGCATTATCGCATGCCTCATTAGCCAAATCTCCTTAACACCAACATACATCATGACCTCCCAAATTCAACTCCCACCCCGCCCCGTCGTCCTCGACAGCGTTCGTCTCCGCGACATCGAACTCCCCCTTCCCTGCGCTCCAGAAGCCTGGCACCGCCAGGGAAAATCTCAACCATGCACCGCAACTTTGAAACTCTCCTACTCCTCCATAATCACAGCCGCTGAAACCGACAATGTCTCACTGACCCTCGACTACGGCAAGCTCTTCCGCCGCCTAGAATCCGACGTACGCAACATGGCAGAGAACATCTCCTCCCCATCCCACCCATCCAACAGACTGATCAGTCTATCCGGGACGCGTCGCGAGGAAATGCAGAGTCGCGGACTGGGCCAGGACCCGCGCGTGATAGCAGGCGTTGTTGCGGATGCGGGATTGGGGCTGTTGGAGACTACGTCTGCTATCACTGCGGCGCAGGAGCCGAATCCTATCTCGGCGGCGTATGGGGAGTGTGAGGTTCTACTGCATTTGCCGAAGGCTTTGTTGCGCGCGGATGAAGGGCTGAGATATCGGGGGGGTTATTGCGCTTGGGGAGGAGGTGGCGCGTGGGGAGACGAGGGGCTTGGTGGTTTTGGAGGAGGAGTTCCGGATCGAGGGGATTAGATGCTATGCTATTTTGGGGGTGAATCCTCACGAGAGACTGGAGAAACAGGCTGTTGTTGTTGGTCTTACGTTCAAGGGTCCTGGGCAGCTTGCTTGGGGGTCTACTGTTGTTGATACGTATCAGGCTGTGACGCGGGCTGTGGCTGAGGTATGTGTTCTATCTTCTTTGCCTGATGCTTTTGCTGGTATTACTTTTGGGGGTCCTATTTGCTGACTCGGTTTGGTACTGTAGATGGTTGATCAGACTGATTTCCAGTCTGTGGAATCTTTGGCTACTTTCATTGCTCGCATTGTGACCGTGGACTTTGGTAATGAGAGTGTGACAGTCAAGGTTGAGAAGCCGAGTGCTCTCGCTTTTGTCCAGCGGTCTGGTGTGGAGATTACTCGCTCCAAGGCTTTCTTTGAGGGTCATTAAGAGCCGCGTAAGGAGTCTCATGTTATACAGGAGGCTGCATTATGCAGATCGATGCCCATATGCAATTTGGTGTAGCTTTGAGGATGTGTGAGACTGTAAGACTTTTGGTATACAGGAAAACAAAAAGACGATATCAAAATATAGACAATATCATGATATACATATGAATATCAAATCTGAATCTGATCAATAGGATCAACAAGATCATATTAATGTCAGCATCTGACACGTGAAATCCAAATCGGGACTAGTCGCTCAGCCCCCGGATCTGCGCCTGAAATCCGATTTTCTGCAGATTCTCTTTTTCTTTGTTTCACTTCCTGGGGAAGAACTGTTAATCTCTATTTGCCAATATCTTCATCCTCTATGTGCCTATTTGCGCCTTCGTCATCGCTCGCTTTGATTTCGCTTACTGGCTTCTCAGCCAACCTCGATCCATCTCTTCTGCTCGACTCGCCTGCTCCCGATATTTCCAACGTGTCGACACACTTGCTGACCCCTTTCAACTTGGGCTTCGACTTCTCGGCCAGCGAGTTGACTTGGCTAGGGGTCCCGGGTCCGTCCTGAAGAAGGGCGGACGGTAAATCTGCTCGAAAGATTCAAGGCTGGTCTATTGACTAGTTCGGGCACTGAAGGAAAACCGTCTATTGATGCAATAGATTCCTCAAGTTGAAGTACGTCCCTTCGTCCCTTCGGTCAGCGTTCCATTTGCCAAGTTTTTTTTAAATGTATTTTTCAATTTCTTTTACGTTTTTTTACCTTGGCTATAATTAGTGGGGGCGTGAAAACCCTCACCTACCCCTCTATTCATTATTTACAGTCCATATTCAAGATCCAGGCGATCCAGGCTAACCAAGTGTCTCTATGTGAACAGGCACTGTTAGATAGGTATTCTCAATACCTTGCTACCATTCTTTACGACCGCGCAAGGTCAATCGCCAATCCTGCGGTTATCGCCGGCGCTTTCACCAAAACCGATCGGGGTGTTTCGCTTCAGTCGCGGAACTACCACCGGCGATAAACCGAAAGCATAATGCCTTCCTCAAATGCAGACGACCTGTCGGTTGGGGATGTCTTCGCGCCGCAGGCCGACAGCGTTGTTGACATCCCGGCCAATCACCGTCGGCCTAATGCACACATGGGCACCATGTCATCCCCGGAGCAGACAACCCATCAATTTAATGGGTTTGAAAATCAGACTCTCAACGAGAACATGCTGCCGAAGCAGAGACGGAATAAGAAGAAGCACCAATTCGTGCCGGCGCGCGCAACTGTTCACGGGTTCACGCCTCTGGCATCCGGCGACGAGGAATCAGACTTCTCCGCTGCAAGCTCACGTGCACCATCTCGACCTCCCACTGCCCTTGGTGGCGCAAGCCCACTGGTACAGGCACCCACAGGCCATGGGGTCAGCGCACTGAAGCTTCAACTCAACACTCTAAATTTGTCCGACACAACTGGTCCCAGCGGACTTGTCTCCCAGACCCCCAGTGTTTACTCCGATAGCGACCAGACCGAGATCTTAACCAGCTATGAAATTCCTCTGGATCAGGACTTTGTTAGCTCTGACGCAGTGCAACCAGAGACACTGGACGATCGCAACGCAGATGTCCCAGGCATGAATTCGGAGTTGCGCAGTCAACTGTGCCGCAAGATGACAGCGGAGGATTTTGAGCCCATTCTTTGTCTGGGCAAGGGCTCATTCGGAACTGTGTTGTTAGTGCGCCACGTCGTCACGGGCAAGCTCTACGCCCAGAAACAATTCCGGAAGGCCACCCTCACTGTCCACAAGAAACTAGTCGAGCAGACCAAGACAGAGCGCACAATTTTGGAAAGCGTCAACCGCCACCCCTTTGTCGTCAAGCTATTCTATGCCTTCCAAGACCACGAGAAACTCTACTTGATCCTGGAATACGCGCAAGGCGGCGAACTCTTCACCCACCTAGCCATGGAACGCATGTTCGAAGAAGACGCAGCAGCCTTCTACATGGCAGAGATGGTACTTGCACTAGCCCACCTACACCAAAACGTCGGCGTTCTCTACCGCGACCTGAAGCCCGAGAACTGCCTCCTAGACGCACAAGGCCACCTTCTCCTAACCGACTTCGGCCTCAGCAAGATCGCCCTCACCGACGACGACCGCTGCAACTCTCTCCTCGGCACAATCGAGTACATGGCACCGGAAGTGATCCAAGGCAAGCCGTACGGCAAAGCATGCGACTGGTGGTCTCTCGGCGCACTGGGCTACGACCTCCTCACCGGATCACCCCCATTCCGCGCAAACAACCACGCAAAGCTCCAAGAGAAAATCGTCAAACAAAAACTAATGCTTCCTTACTTCCTCGGACCCGACGCAAAAGACCTCCTCACCCGTCTCCTCCGTAAAGAACCCTCCAAACGTCTCGGCTACCACATGCAGAAAGATTTGCAGATAATCAAGAAACACCGCTTCTTCCGCAAAATCGACTGGGCAGCCCTCGAACGTCGCGAACTCGATCCCCCTATCCAGCCTGTCGTCACGGATCCCGCTCTCGCGGAAAACTTCTCTGTCGATTTCACTCAACTCCCGCTCAGTCCGACGGTCACTGCTGCTGGCTTCGACGAGTATTATGGCAAGGGACAGGATTTCCCAGCTGGAAAGGGTGCGGATGGAGACGAGCTTGGTGGTGGAAGTAATCCGTTCGGTGGATTTAGTTATGTTGCTTCGAGCAGCTTGCTGGATCATGGATTGGGGGTTATGACTGCTGGATATTGAATGGGGATGAGGGGATTTGTGTGGGGGGTTGACTGAGGAGTGAGAAGACAAGAATGAAGGTCAAAGAAAGAACGAAGATAATGCACATATTCGCATCAAGACGTCTCGGCGTGTCGATGTCGGGGTATCTACAAGTACATCGCATTGCATTGCATGTAGTACCTGTGTTGGACTGGGATTGTTTCCCTGTCCAGTTGCCTGTCTTGTTGTGAAGCAATACAAACTTGCATTTGAACACAAAGTGGTATTTAGCATCGCATATCTAGGAGTTTTTTTCTCTCTCGTTTGGAGTAAACCTTGGAATAATACACGCATACACATTTCCCTGGCAATTGACTGGATATTGGCGTTTGAATCTTTGACTTTAGAACTAGAGGGTACTTCACCTACAGCCCCCAATAAACCAGGCCGTTATGAAAGTACAGTCAAGTAGACAAAAAAAGAGAAATTAAAATCTCTGTGAATTTCATTCTCATTCATAAATAGTATCTTTCCTTCCCCAAGGTTACTTCTACAACACCGACTTGATAACCCCAAATGTATAGGTCTCAGAATCCTAGATCTCGCCTTCTTCACTTCCAGCACCGTCATCATCAGCCTCGCCCTCCTCTCGCTGGGGGTCTAATTTACTCCCATGATCCCTATCCGCCGTAGACGGGTGAACAGAATGCGGGGGATGCGCGACTGGAACGACGTGTTGTTTCTCATTGAGTTCGCCTTCTTCGGCGGACTCTTCTTTCGATGCGTTGGATCCAGGTGCCGAATTCTCCGCGATTGATAGGGTGTTAAATTGAGACGTGGCTTTTGTTTGGGATGATGCGGCTGTGGGGACGCGCGGGCGGGATGGGGCTGGGGAATTTGGTTTTTGGTCGGTGGGGATTGCTTCGTGGGAGGGGGTTATTGTGCGCTGGCGTTTGGGAGATCGTTCACTGTCACCATTCCCGTTGAGGATTGTTGGAGGGGGTTTGGTTTGTGGGGAAGATGGGTGTGGGTGAGGTTCGGGTTCGCGTGAGCGTTTGCGGCCATTTGATGCTGTGTCTGAGGTGACGGTGAGGGTTGGAGGGGTGGAGGTGGATTGTTGCTCTGAGGCTGATTTTGTGGGATCTGTGTCGAAGATGCGGGTTGGGTCATTGGGGTGGGAGGTTGAGTCTGAAAGTGCGAATTCAGGGTAGCCTTTGCTGAGGCTTTGCTGGACGCGTTCGTAGATCTTGACGATGAAGGTGCAGGCACGGATGAGATCGTCGAGGCGGACGTCGATCTGCTCCCACCAGGGTCGGCCCTCGGCGTCGTCAGGGAACGCGACTTTGCAGTGGCGGGCTGCGGCGTATAGGGCCGCGGCGGCGATGACGCGGGGTGGGAATTGGAGGCAGAGGACGGTGTAGGTTGAGTCATTGAGGAAGGAGTAGGTGGAGTGTCGCAAAGTTCTGTTGTCGCCGACGCCTAGAAAGACGGAGTAGTCCCAGAGGATGCGGTAGGGGGACTCAACCTGCAAGTCAAAGCAGAGGTATTCAAGCATGACGCTCTCGTTCTGCAGGATCAGGTCTCGCCATTTCCAGTAATCCTTGGATTGCTCGTCGACAATCAGGTTCGGCTGCTTCATGGCGACGCGGCAGCATGCGATAACGAAGTCTTTCATGCGGCGCATGGCCTCGTCCACCTTGAACGCGACGAACAGGGCCACCGCGGCAATCACCTTCGGGTGCATCAGGTCCGACCCCATCTCCGGATATTGACCCATCAAAGAATAGCGCATGAGGAAGCGGTGCATATACACCGTGGCAGTCATTGAGGTCTGCGGGGGCATCTTCAACATCACGCTCACTTGCCAGATGAACTCGACTGCACGGTGCCGGATGTAGTCCTCTTTCCCACGTTCAATCTTGTCAATGCGCGATGGCGTGCGCTCAAATTCTTCCTCGGTGAATAGCCATTTTTGCTGCTCTGCTTCCAACACCGGATTCGGTAGGCCGGGGATTCGTCGCCTCGGCGGTGCTGAGGAAGCCATGGGTGTGCGAAGTGAGGAGGGGAAAGACGAAGTTCGACGAGGGTTTAACCGTTCATAGAATGGCGATAGGGTTGAAGCGCATCCGGCGCGCCTGGTGAGGGATAGCTCGCGCGAGATCAACAATAATCGTTATCGTCCCAAACGTCACAGTCGTCAGGCCCAATCTAGCATGGCGGAGCTTTCTATCGCATGGCGGAGATGGTAGTGCACGAGAGAGTATAGAGAGTTGGAGAGAAGGAAACAGGGATAAACAATATATAAGCAACAAAGCGCTGCCTATATATCAAGCAATATCAAATGACCTGCAAGGCGGTTGCCAACTCCGTGACGCAGCCGACAAGGGAAGCTTTTAGTCGGAACAATGGCTTTTCCGAGTAGAACTATTTATCCGGAATGGGAGAGATGCGGCTTCCAATGAACAGTATTGTGATATATAGAATATCATGTCAATTGAGGGAAGAAACACAGATTCAATGAGTTTTCATGTAAATTAAATTGTCCATTATTATGCAATTACACTCGGAACAGTCCCTATAAACGATTACAATTGGTATCTAGTACTTTCGAATCAAAGTCCATCCTGGCGCCACGCTGATAGATGCAATAGACAATAAAAGAGCCAAACAGGCATTTACTCCTCCTCACTGACCTCGCTCTCATCATCACTGGGAACGTATTGCCGGGTCGTGGGTTGAGTGTAATGGTGGCTCCGAGCTTCCTCTTCGCGAGCACTTTGTTCAAAAGCGGCTTCCATCTCCGCCGCCAAGGCATCATCATCTTCCACTTCGTCTTCTTGGATGGCAGTGTCTGTATGTGCTGACGATGTCGGTGGCGCTGTATTACCGACTGGGGAGGGTAAACTAAACTCCCCAACGTCTTCATCCCCATCGTCGTCGGCTGGGGTGTTATTGGACGAAAAGTAAGCCCGGTTCACGACGAATGGGCGTGAAGGAGGTGGAGAACCCATATCAATAATGAGGTCCCCATCAACAATGATGTTCGAGCTGGGAGACTGCCCTGTCTGTTGCGATCCCGTGCCTGCGTCGGACGGCGTGGAGCGAGAGTCCTCATGCTCAGGCGGATCGGGATAGCTAACAGGCTCGCTTGGTTTCGCGGGCGGGTGTGCTTTGACTGGTGCTTTTGCGGGTGGTTTCTTCTGTCGCAGCGGATTTGCTTGTGTTGTGGGTCGAGGTACAGGTCTAGGAGCGGGTCTGGCAGCCGGCATCAATGGTGTGTTGGCCCTGCTGGTAGCAAGTTCGGGGGTGCTGTGGCCTGAGATTGGCTTGTCATCCTCTCGGCGATTCTTCGGAAGGAAATGTCGGAAGTCGTAAGGATTGCTATCGTCGGCCGGGCCCTCATCCTCGCTAGCGCTTCCTCCGTGCCGGTCTTCTCCCGAGGCTGGTTCATCCTCTTCCTTTATCTGTAGTTGTTCGTATTGCTCGCGGACCTGTTTTTCCGTCTTTCCTGGAGCCGACCGTAGATTAAAGTTTAAGGTTGTCGAGACCGGCTCCAGAACAAAGACTTTCCGCTCCGGGTCGAAGATCAGAACCAGGCTTCGCTCACCCGACGGGTCCTCGCTGCCTTTGTATGAATAGTTCAATGTTTGATCAGCATTTGGGGCCTTGTCGGTAACGGCGAGGTCATAGAGGTCGGAGGATCGGGAGGGTGTGATGATCGAACGCTGTTGTGAGGTGGCGGACTTGGATTTGTGGTTGTAGTTGACGTTGATCAGTCGGCTCGTGTTTGGGTTTCGAGCAAGCCTTTCCCCCAGCACGATGGGGTATTCGGCCTGCTTTGTCGGGTCGATCATCGCAGACAATGTGGGAGTAGCCATACTTGCACTGTGAAGAGACCCCAAAATTAAGGTGCGTACATGTGAAAGGAAGGGAAAAGAAGGAAGTCCCCCAAAGTCGGGGAAAGGTAAGTGGAGAAAAGCGGAATTAGGAAACGACTTTCTCCAGGGCTCCCCACTAGGCTGATAGATGTCTTACATGCTTACATTCTTACATTCTTGTGTCTCTCCAGATTCTGAGATTGGATTTCAATTGATTCCTTGATCGTGGATTTGATGTTTCATGGTGAATGTGCTTATACTCGCGACTTCTGTACTACATTTTACGCAGGCGTCGGCTCCGACTTCGGCTCAGACATATACACATAAAGCAAGGTAGTTCCATTAGACGATAAGTACTAGTCAAGGCATCAACAAAAAAGCGGCTTGGAATACAATGCAGTAAATCAGGGCAGGAGAGGTATCCAAGAAACAAAGAACGCGAGACATCAGAGAAAAAGCATGGGATATCAGTCAGCTCGTACGGTCACTATGCCACCCAGAATGGCTGGAATCAAGCATATTCCAATGTCAGATATTTGAGATTTCCGTGTTTACTTGAGCTTCTCCTTGAGCTTGCCGAAGAAGCTGCTCATGCGGTGCTTCTTCTTCTTCTCGCCAATGGTAGAAGCACCTTCACTGTGGGACTGTTTGCGAGACTGCTCTGCGGGCTTTGCAGTCGATGTAGCAGGAGTCGATGTAGCAGGTGCCTGAGAAGACTCAACGCCGGTCGTCACAGTGGGAGCTGCGGGTTCAGCTTTGGGAGTCGAGACTTCAGCGGTAGAAGTAGTCTCAGGGCCAGTGGTGACAGTTGGCCCACTGGACTCGGTCTTCGGCGCCGAAGTTGGGGCAGCGGGGTCAGCGGCAGCAAAAGTGCGGCCCGGGGGAGGAGTTGAAAGTGGCGACACATCTGCCGAGTCTACCCCACCGGCAGTGAGATGAGGTGCAACAGCTTGGGTGGCTGCAGTGACGGTAGGCGCGGGAGCACCTGCGGACTCTTCGACCTGGACTTTCTTGTGAAGTTCCGCCTCGATAGCCTTCTTCTCGTCGACTGCTTCCTGGTTCGCGGCAGCCTCCGGGTCCTTGTGGGCCTCGGCCATCGAGTCCTTCACCACCTGTGGGACCTCATCGACGGGCTTGTCGCCGTTGGTCTCCTTGCCCTTTGGCTCGAGCGGCACGGCAGCGGCCAGTGCTGCTGTAGTTGAGTTGGGGCCAGCGGACTGGATATTGTATCCTGGATCGGCCAAGGTTGCCTGCTCCACCGGAGCTCCGGTATAAGTGGGTTCGCTCTCACTGACTGCGGCGTGTTGCGCGGGTCCACCGATCGGAAGACTGGATTCGGGGATCATGTTGTTTGTGATTGGAGGGAGCGTATATGGGGCAGAGCCAGGATTGGCGTCGGTGTTGTGGAGCCCGTCAATAGGGAGTGTTTGGCCCTTTTCATATGACTCTTTGTCCAAAGTCACAGTAGAGTCAACGGTGTTGTTGTGGAGGGTGCTGTGATGAGGAACTTTGTCACCCGGGTTCAGGCTGACGGGGTTGCCATAGCCCTCCGAAGCTGGGATGGGATCCACGGACAAGGTCTGTTCGGAGTCCAGTCCCGGAGTCTCTGGGAAGGTCCCAGGCAAATGTCCATTAGGCTCCTTGGGAACATTAGCAGCGAGAGCCGCGGTTGTAGAATCAGGGGTCACGCCGGACATAGTGGGGGCGAAATCGGAATGGATCTCTTCTGGTAGAAGTACGTTGTTGATGTTGTTATGTCCGTCCTCTTCTTCGCGTACGTTGGGATCTGTAGTCCAAATACCGTCGACGACAAACTTTGTTTCAGTCAGCACGAAGGAATGAATCTTGGTAACCTGGGGAATCCGGGCAGCGCCTTTATATAAATGAGCACAGATGGCAGATGACGTCAGTGGGAAATGGCCTGTTGCCTAAGGCTCACCGCCATCCAATCTACAGGGGGGAAAAAATAGGAAGGGAAGGTGCGAGGGAAAGAGAGAACCAAAAAAAAAAAAAGTGTTGTATGGCCATACCTTATACTGGACTTTCTGTACTGGTGAAATCGTCACTTCCTTGGTGAAGATATCGCCCACCCGGTCCAGTTTCACCGTCTTACCCCAATCATCGAAAGTGCCGGTAACGAACACCTCGCTCGCATTGTGAGGCCTGCAAGTAACCGTCTCAGCATTGTACCACGAGAATGATCCCAACATTGGAAGCTTGACTCACCACTTGAATGTAAAGGTTCCCATGATTGATTTCGCAAAAATTGGGAAAAGACGAGGTTGGGAAAGGGAAAAGGGGAAAAAAAAAGGAATCCTAAATCTCAGTGGGGGGTTGACACACAGATCAGTACCTGACCCTGGAGAGGGACTAAGCGGCTATATAATTCTGATTTTTGAGAATAGATAGGATGTGCAGATATCTCTCAGGGGGCTGGGCGAACTCGGGTCTATGCGCTTCTAGACTGGCCTTGGGAATCTAACGCCACGGAGCTTAGGGTTCTATAGCCATGTACGGAGTACAGACCTATGGGTTGATAGTCTCTTAGGCAAACGTTTCCTAAATAAACATGCTGAGTGAGGATCTGCATGTATTTCGCCGAATAAGGTGACATGCGAAAACGGCCGAGTCCATGACATACTGGAATTGGTTTCAACCCAAAGATATCCAAACTTCCCGCCACTTGAGTGGCGAATCTTGTAGTTCTAGAAGACCCTTGGAAGACGGTTAAGTCCATTCTCTAATGAGTGACGTCGATACTGTCCATAGTCCATAGTCCACTGAAAATTGATCGACGAAGCTTAGACCAACTCATGTTTCTACCCCTCAATTTTCCTTCTTCTCCTTCCATCTCGTCAAATTGTCTAGCTTTTGCATCTTTACAGGTAATGTTCTTTCGTTCACTTCTTTCACTGTTTTTTTTCATTTTCAGGAAAGAAAAAAAGAGAGGTCATGCAGTTCTCTACAATTAGACTCCAACCAATAATCCCCCCCTGCCCCTCCGCTTCTTTACTCTACTACTCTTCCAATCCTTCACCTTTCCTCTACCTCCTCTACATTCTTCCTTCCATCCACTCAAGAGTGATTCCTTTCTGATCTTTACAGATATCTCACCTCTGTTTCGCATCTATCCCACTCAGCTTCAACGCCGGACGTTGCGGCCTCTCTGGCCCTCAACCCCACCCCCCAAAACGCCCTCATGGCACAAAACTCTGCTCCGGGCTTGACCCCGGCTATCAACACCAGAGCTGGCGATAAATCTGCTAGCACCCAAAAAATTCCCGACGACGAGTTCGAGGTGACGTCACCAACCGACCTGACTTTTCGGCAGTCTAACTTGGGTGCTTCGCCCCCGGGCACCGCTTTATTTGGAGGTACTGCATTCGCTGACGGAGGAGCACAAACGGGAAGATCACTGTTCAGCCGGAGTCCTTTCCAGGAGACCGTGGAAGAGGAGAGCGAACAAGAGGGGGAGCTGGCCCCTCTCCCGGTACCATCCGCACAGCAAGGATTCCCCAGCAATTATGCGCTAGGCCGTCGGACATCGGTTTCGGCGGAATCTTTAAATCCCACCGAGGCTGGCTCGGAGAGCTGGTCACCCCCTAACCACCCAAAGACCGAAGAGCAGGTCTCCCGACTCAAGAGCGCCGTCAGTAACAACTTCCTCTTCTCCCATCTCGACGACGATCAATTCTTGACCGTTCTCAATGCACTCGTGGAGAAACCTATCCCTGCGAAGGATATCAAGGTCATCTCCCAAGGCGACGCGGGAGATTACTTTTACATTGTGGAGAAAGGAAACTTTGACGTTTATATCCACCCCTCCGGCGCCGTACAGCCTGGCCCTGATGGCTTGGGCAACAAGGTCGCCACCACTGGACCTGGCGGATCTTTCGGTGAGCTGGCTTTGATGTACAATGCCCCGCGTGCTGCGACAGTAATCTCCACCGAGCCAAAGAGCACCTTGTGGGCCCTTGACCGCATCACCTTCCGCCGCATTCTAATGGACTCGGCATTCCAACGCCGTCGCATGTACGAGGCTTTCCTGGAGGAAGTCCCGCTGCTTTCTTCACTGAAGTCATACGAGCGCTCGAAGATCGCCGATGCATTGGACACCATCAAGTACCCGGCCAATTCCACTATCATCCACGAAGGCGATCCTGGAGATGCTTTCTATCTTTTGGAGTCGGGCGAAGCCGAGGCTACCAAGAACGGTGTCTCCGGGCCGGTCAAGAGATATCGTCGAGGTGATTACTTCGGTGAGCTTGCCTTGCTGGACGACAAGCCACGCCAGGCGAGTATCACCACCAAGACTGATGTGAAGGTGGCGCGGTTGGGCCGGGACGGATTCAAGCGGCTTCTCGGTCCTGTGGAGGGCATGATGAGAGGAGCCGAGTATGAGTTGGACGGGGAAAAGTCTCCCGTTTCCAAACCAATGTGATATGATACAATGAAATTGAATCTGGGGGTTTTTGAGCCTGGAAATTAGACTCTTCATTGGCGAGATCCAGCTCTCCTGTCATCTGTCACTTTGTTGAGTTCCAAAACTCAACTGCTACCCATTCCAATACCTGACGATCTAACTCTTTTTTTTTTTCATGTTCATTATTTGTCTCCCATCTTTCCCAGCAAACTTTCCACTCTTTACGACTATCTGACTTGTATCTACAACTATCTCTTTACGTGTGCGATCTGTGATCTATGACGGGGACCTACTGTCGTCCTTGTTCATATTGTCCTTTTGCTGTGTTATTCACTCGGACACTCGAATACTTAGGTATCCAGCAGAATGATTAGAACTTGTGTTTGATTTTCAAACTGCAATTCCAATTCCCCTATGCATGCCTATATACCAAAACTCCCAGTCGCGTAGGAACCCGCCTACTACGATCATGCTATGCTCCCCCAAAAACTACACCACCCCCCAAATGAAAATCACTAATATATCACGTATCACCTCGGGACAACCAAATCACTCCTCAAAACCCACTTCTCCCCACCAGTAACTTCCACCCCCTCATGTAGCATACAATGATCTCCGTGTCGATGCAACAGCGCCATCCCAACCTCCGGCGCAACAGCTATCGGCCCCGGATTACGGTTCGCACGCGTCGGCTCAGGATAGAATACTGTTTCACCACCTGTACACGACGTCAGGTATACCAGAAGTGTCCAAGTCGTGCGTGCAGGTGTTGCTTTTGATCGCGAGTTCGGTGGGGGAAGGGTAATGTTATTGGCATCGTCGTCTGCGATTACATTAGATGACTTGTCTTGGTTTGTACAACAGTATAAGTCTTCTGGTCCAAGACAAGAGGTTCCTACAATGTTGTCCGAAGAACTGTCCTGCCGAGTATCGATAAATACGAATATTAGGATTCAACCCCAATGGATCCCCGCCCCAGAGTTGACGTGCGCGTTCAGCGAGCGCCGGCGAGATTGTATCGTCTTCTGTGCTCTCATCGTACTCGTCTTCTTCGAAGCGCGTCGTGATCAGCTCTTTCAGCGCTGTCGTGCTCCATAGCATTTCTGCGAATCGCGCATCGTCGATCTGGAATCGGTCGTTGACGCGTAAGGCCTCGTCTTTCTTGGGGGTTCCCGGTGTTGTTGTTAGTGGTAGGGAGGCGAGGAATGAGGTGTAGGTTTTGCACAGGGTGCTTGGGAGGAAATTGCGGATGAGGTAGATTTGGTCGGGGAGGAGGGGGGTCAGGGTTAGATCGGCGGCGGGGAGGAGGGGACGGAGGGGTGGCCAGTTTGGGGTTGTGGTTGTGGTTTTGGGTTGGGGTTTTGGATCGGGTTTCTTGGATTTGGCCATTTTGGGGTTTGTGGCGAGTGGTGGGTATGTTGATGAAGGTGAAGGTAAGGGGATGGTGGAGGTGAAAGTGATGGTGGAGGTAGAGATGGAGACAGAGGGTCTACCTCCAGGGCTACCTACGTAGAGGGTGGCTTTTTTTTATCGCGATAAGATTCTATACCCATAGATATACAAAGTACAAAGTACAGAACTCATTGGTTTCTATATATACTCTTCCCCAGAATATGTATACATCGTACACCCCTTGCATATGATACTGGATAGGAATCATTTGCCAAAAGTACCTACTGTCATGGCTTCCCCTCAAGAGCCAAGTGAATATCCAATATCAAAGGGGTTGACTCCACCTAGACAATAGACCGAGGTAATGTGAAGTTATAAAAGTGAAAAAGAGGCCAATTGCAAAGAAGTATAGCCCACTGTCGCATCCAAGATATAGATCTAGGCTCTTTGGATCAACAAAATCGGTGAGGAACCGGTCCGTACAGGTGGATCAGGTCGGAGAGAATATGGATTTGGGCGGGGCGGGAAAGAAAATTTGTCCCGAAAGAGGATCGTCGGTGCTTTTTTCTTTCCAACGTCTCTCTAACTGTAAACAATTCCAGATGTCTGTTGCGGAAGTCAAGTCCAATCGCAATACGAAGTACTGAGAACTAAAAACAAAAAAAGAAACCTCCCAAAAACATGCCTCAGCGGTGACTACGGTGATCTGCAGCGACCAACTTGGCCACGCTCACCGCCCGGGCCCAAGTTGAGAACTTCCCTTCTGGTTGGAACTTCATTCCTCTCCCTTCCTCAGCACCAGCCTGTCATGTCGTCGCAGACCATGACTGCGCCAGCCGTGGGCCATCGACCGCCTGACCCAGGCTCCGATAGCCCGCTGTACGACTATGGCTGCTCACCAAACACCACATCCCCTTCCAATCCTCGAGACGACTCCGCAATCCGCGACATGCAGAATAATTCTGCCCCGTCAACTCCCAACGGGATGCCCGCCCCAGACGTCGCAATCAAAACCGAATGCTCGGACAACAACGAATACCCAACTGCGCAACACCAACAAGATACAAATACGCAAAACGCCGCAAGTGCGCTCCTAGCGCAGCTACTTGGTAATCAAACCGCGGCTAACACTACCCCGACTACAATACAACCTGCACAACAGGATGAGGACCAGGATGTTCACATGGATATCAAGATGGACGACTCAATCTCACAGTCATTCGACATGTCTGCCCAAAACCCCACGCCCATCGACCCGAGCTTACACCAAGACACCGCCTCGATATCTCGCGAGATTCAGGACTTACTGAATGGGAAAGCTTTAGGTGACGAGCTCATGGGATCAAATTCTGCACACCACGACATGAGTCATGCAGGATTCAATTCGTCCGATGTTATGCATACCTTGTCCGACCCCATGAACCCGAAATTGAATAACGACCAGCCCTCGCTCCTCCCGCCGTTGGATTTTTCCGCCGCCCCAAAAAATGCGTTTGAAGCTCTTCAGCAAAATGAGCTGCTCACAGCCGCCTTCCTTTCCCAAAATGCCGACCTGTCAGCCTTGGGATATCAAGATATGGCGGCTTCAATTGCTGGCTCTGAACCTAAGATCCAAGCATTTGCCAAGTTGGAGTTTGACGATGGGCATTTCTACGTCAATACATATTCATTTATCCTCGGGCGAGACGTGCGTGCCGCCCGTGCCGCCCATCACCGAGAGTTTCAGTACCGGCAGGCCGTGCGCAGCACTCGGGCGAAGAGTTCAAGTGGAGGAAACACATCTCACACCCCCAACCGCATGAAGCGGGAGGAGAGTGCTGCCATGATGGGCAGTGTTGTCAGTGATCGGGGAGGTATCATGGGCTTTGATCCGGATATACCCCCGCATCTTCCAAACAATATGAACATGAGCCGACGGTCATCAAAATCCTCCTTTGACGATGCCGTTGTGCCATTGCATGCAAATCCGGCTCAACTACAATCCACAACCGACTACAATGCGCTCGCTATGCAATCTTTGCAAGATGGAAACGGAGACGCAAAGCCCGTTGATGCGCTGGCTTTGCTTCCATCTCCCGATTCCTGTCCCACCATCCCAATTCATCCCCCAACGACTGTTGACGGCAGTGCCGCAGGCCATCGAGGGATTTCTCGAAGGCATGTTCGAATTTCATACAATTTTGATCGTAATTTGTTTGAAATGGAAGTGATGGGACGTAATGGAGCGTTCATTGGAGCTGATTGGCTATCACCGGGGCAGGTTCGCCCGTTACACAGCGGCGACTACATCCAAATTGGAGGTGTGCGCATCCGGTTCTTGCTACCAGACGTTCCCATTGGTGAAACTGGAGCAGACCGCATGGAAGAAAAGATGGCAGAAAAGCGTGAAGAGGAAGAAGAGAAAGATGCCCGTGCTTCGATCGAGATGGATGATGATGTCGATGAATCTGAGAGACTTGGAAGTGACAGCGGCGAGAGTAGGGAACCTTCGAAGAAGATTATCCTCAAGACAAAGGATCCCAAATCGTCTCAAACAATGGATTCTATCGAGCCTGGAGATAATGATTCCCAGCCGGCCCGCCGCCGGGGACCAGGACGTCCTCCCAAGGATGGAATCATGTCCAAGCGCGAGCGAGCTGAGCTTGCTCGAGAGCAGAAAAATGCCGCCAAACGCGAGGCGAATGGAGGTATCACACCACCTCCGCCTAAGGTGCCCAAGGCCGGGAAGACAGTTGCCAAAGAGTCTGTCGTTCCTGAGTCACCAAAACCATCTGAGAAGCGAAAATACACCAAGAGGAAGAAGCCGGATGGGACCCCAATGGATTCTCCCCTTCCCTCAACAGAAGGTGGCCAAATGTCTGCAGAGCCGCCGCAGGAATATGTCAAACCCCCGCCGGTTAAAAAGCGCAAACCATCACGGTCACCGTCTCCAAACTATCCTCCGGAGTCTGCTTACAATGCCGAGGATCTGGCCAAGCCCCCGTACAACTACGCCGTCCTCATCTTTGATGCTTTGACGGAAGCCGGCACGCCAATGACATTGAAGCAGATTTACCGTGCGCTGAAATTGAAGTATCCGTACTTCCGCTTCAAGTGTGAGACTGAGGGCTGGACATCCAGTGTCCGGCACAACCTGAACGGCAACGGTCATTTATTCATGCACGCAGAGCGAGATGGTAAGGGTTGGTCATGGCAACTTATCCCTGGCGCGTCGGTCGAAAAAGAGAAGAAACGACGCCCTTCGCCGCCGCCACAGGTATCCCACCCACCTACGCCTGCTCCCCAGCAGTACATGCCCATGTCCCACTCCTATGCACCACCACCTCAGGGCCCACCCCCGGTGCCAAATCCGCCACAGCATTTCCAATTCCCTTCCATACCGCCTGCTCCTTTCCCGGCATCTGTTAATGTGGGAGGGCAACCACCACATTCCAGTCCTTACCCACCTCCATCAAAGATCCCTGCGCCTACACCCACTGTTCCTCCTCCTGCTCCCCCTGTCAAAGCTCCTGCTCCTGCTCCGCCCCCATCTCAGGTTGCGACACCGGCACCGGCACCTCCGGCAGCGCCTAAACCTGCTCCTGTCTCTGCTCCTGTCCCATCGCCGGCGCCAACACCTACTCCGGTTCCTATACCCTCATCTGCACCCGCACCTACACAGGCACCCGCCCCAGTACAGACGGCACCGCCACCGGCCTCGGCACCAGCACCGACACCAGCGTCAGTACCGGCACCATCCATCAATCCAGCTGCATCCTTCCCCATCCCCAGTCAGCTCCGCAACAATCTCCCAGCTGCATTCGCGGCCACCATCCCTTCAACCTACACATCGCCCTATGCATCCGCCCCTGCCCCGCAACCCAGCCAGCAGCAACAATTGCAGACCCCACGACCTCCTCATGGTCCACCTCAACATCATTCGCCTTACCCACAACAAAAGCCGCCATCGTCTCAACCTCCTCACAACAACCCGCAGCCTCGGGCCTACCCCCACCTGGTGGAACACAGTTCCAGCATCAGCACCAGCACCAGCATCAGCAGCATCAGCCGCCGGTCCAACCCCAGTCGCAGCCACTGTCGCATCCTCCTCAGCAGCAACATCAGCTATCTCATCACCAGCACCAGCCGCACCAGCCGCCGCCGCCGCAGCAGCACCAGCACCAGCACCAGCAGCATCAACACCAGCAGCACCAGCAGCATCCGCACCAGCATCATCCGCCTCCAGGCCTCCCGGCCCACTCTCATCACCAACAGCAACACCCTGTTCAGCAAAACTCTGTAACCGGGCCGCAAGAGTCATCCTCGTTCATTGATCGAGCAAACAAGGCAATCGATGACTTTGAAGCTGTTCTCATGGAAGATTACGAGGACAAGAACTACATCCGGGAAGTTCTGCGGAGTGCGCGCGCACGTGTATTGGGCAATGCGACGGAAAGCTCCTTCCCAGGCGGTGAGCCCAAAGACGAAGCTGTCATCATGGACGTGCTACGAAATTTGGTCGGAAGTCTGAAGGACGAGTGAATGGCCTCCTGGTTACACATATTGGTGGAGGGAATGGTTTCCTCCCTGACGACTTATCGAGTATACGAGTCTTATGGTTTTGCTTTTTTTTTCTTTTCTTTCTTTTACCAGTTCAATTTATCTGTGTCAAAATTTTTTGTTTTGCGACATGTCTAGATTCTTTGAATCTTAATGATATCCCTCTGTTTTTGCGACAGGCGTCTGCTTGCGCCTTGTCTATTTTTTTGTGTCGCACTTCGATATTGTCACTGTTCTCTTTTAGACTCATTATAGCCCACTGTTTTGGAGTGGTGCAGAGGAATCTCTTTCGGAGAATCCCAACTTGCTCGTTTGTTTGTTTTGATCCTGGCGTCATCCGGCCGCCTGATATAAAAGCGTAAAAGCTCTCTGCATGATAGAAATACCATTCACATTGACCGGACTTGACACTCATTCTCCAGCACAGACATGGATATTCGATGTTAGTATCCTTTTCTGAATACCGTTGCTGGTATCCGCATATCAAACTACTGGATCTCCTAGATTATACATGGAAAAGTCATTTTTACAACCTAAAGCTCTTCTTTCCTTCTGCTGTTTATCTATAAAACCGGGAAGGGGAAGCAATCATCATGAAAAATGAGATACACAGACTATCTAAAATGACTGGAAAGACCACGTAGGAGACGCTCCAAACAGAGTATATCTATATTTTCCCTTTCACTCAGCAAGCTGCACCAGGTCATTACGCGGTCTTTTGCATAGAGAGTCGCAGAAGGGAAGTTCCCACTGATATAGCGCTCAGATTTTACGAGAATGGACTTCATCTTCCCAAAATCACTCGGTCAGAGGTAGTATCGCATTCATGGTACTTCTTCGAGGCAGCAGAGTGCAAGAGCCACCGGGTAACCTCCAGCCATAGTGCCTCGATAAGAAGGGTGGATTTCTTCCATTCTCTGCCGCCGTTAGAGGTCTGAAACACAGTGGTGGTGTGCTATGAGCAACACTCAACGCTCTTCCTCGAAATGCTCTTTCCGCGAAACGGATTAGTCAAATCTTCGAGCAATCTCCAGTAATGTTCCCCCCTCCCCCGGCGTTGGTAAGGGTGATTCTGCTATTTATATGGATTTTGAAGGAGAGAAAGAAGGGAATAGGAGGATAAGAAAGAAAGAGCAGTTGAAACGGAAAGCTCGACCGGGGATAACCCATACGGTGATTTATGGAAACGTCGTTGTCACTTTCTGTCTACCTATAAAACTAGAAAGACCCCCAGAATATGTTACCCACACAATGCCAAGGAGAGAAGAATTGAAGAATATTGACAGCTATCTCGATCATCTAATTATAAACATAGTCGAACAAAAAAAAAGACATGAAACAGACATCGACCCATCACCTAGAAGCAAAAAAGCTCGACAAATACAGGCCGAGTAGCCAAAGGCAGGATGACATTGTGCGATAGCAATAGCCGTGGCCAGTCTGTGGTCCCATTTCCAATGCATATCCATAATATCCATAACGCAAATCCAATGATCAAGTCCTATGCCATAAACACCTCGACACCCCAGGGGTTGTAATGAAAATCAACTCCCCGGGCTAGAGGAAGATAGGTTGATCACAAGGAAAAATAAAAAAGCAAAAAAAGGGGAAAGAATCGAAAAGGAGCCAGCCTTTGCCCTGCGAAATGATACATGTTGTACACCGGAGCAATATTCCCATCAGACATCCCAATTCTCGTCTATTGGCAGGGTGCCGAATAGATAGGATTGAGAGCATTGAATGGGTGAAACAGTATTAGGGAATATCTTGAGAAGAATAACAGTGACAAAGAAAGTAACATGAGATACTGTATGGATGTAAACGGGGAGCAACAGTAGAAGAATCATAGGAGACGGGGCATATTCATTCGTTGCTTGTTCGAATAACTCATGACCGTTTGGTTTCTTTTTTGTTCCTTTTTCCCAAGTTCGCCTTTTCTTTCTAGTCCGAGGAAGCTCACTTGCTTTTATGCATGTGCCTTGAACCCAAAAGTCCGAAGACACAAGGGTGATGGAAATCCAGAACAAAGATAGGGCACGTGGAATCAAGACCCCGGCACGACGTGACCAGCAACAACCGTGCTTGTGGAAAAAAAAAAACACCCCAACGGAAGACTCATCTCAAACCCTAATCAACTCAAGACGTCGTGTCAACTGGGAGAAAGAAGCCAATCTAGTACTAGTACAAAGGATTCTTGACATCCTGGACTCCGCGTCGGATGACATCCTCGACACGCCAGCGAGGAGGGGAGATATTGTCCGAGCGCTTGCGGTGCCATTCTTTTTCCAGCTCTGGTGGAGGAGCTGGCATTTCGGCAGCGGGCAGTGCACCACCCGCGATACCAGTGGAGAATTTCAACTGGAGGACGTTACCAATTTCATCGCAAGCGGTCAGCACACGGTCAAGATCATCCTTGGTGTGTGCAGCAGAAACACAGAAACGAGCACGGGATGAGACCAGCGGGGTGGCCGGGTAGCCAACAACAACGACCGAGATCTTGCGCCGGAGCATCTCATGCGAGAATGCAGGCATCTTTGCCGGGTTAAAGAGAAGGAGTGGAATGATTGGTGAATCATCATGGCCATACACTATAAAGCCGAGACGCTTCAATCCGAGACGAAGGTATCGGGAGTTGAAAGCCAATCGCTGCAGTCGCTCCTCACCCTGGCCAGGAACGAGCTCACCGCTAATGATGCGCAGAGCGGAGGAGATCTGGGAAAGCACTGCAGGCGCAGGAGACTCTCCGTAGTAGACACCGGGGTTGGTGGCACGAAGTTGGTCGATCATCACCTTGTCCGCCGCAATGTAACCACCGTTGGCACCGAATGACTTTGTGAGCGTGCCCATCAGGATATCGACCTCGGAGGTATCAATACTGAAGTAATCGCAAACACCACGTCCCTTGGGACCAATGGCTCCAATGGAGTGCGCCTCATCGACAAACAGATTGAACTTATACCGGCGCTTCAACTGCACAAGACCAGGAAGATTGCACATAGAACCTTCCATCGAGTAGAGTCCCTCGACCACGACCAGAATTTTTTTCCAGGGACGGTGAGTGCGGGGTTGTCCCTGAGAGATGGCCTCTCGAAGTTTTGACTCAAGGTCCTTCATGTCATTGTGCTTGAACATGGCGATAGAGGCGCCAGAGAGACGTGCACCAAAACGGATCGAGGCGTGATTCAGTTCATCGGAGATCAGGAGACATCCCTTCGAGACCAAGGCGGGGAATATGGTTGCGTTGGTACCGAAGCCCATGGAAAAAATCATCGAGGCTTCTTTGCCCACAAACCGGGCAACCAGGTCCTCTACTTCGACATGCAGATCTTGTGTGCCGGACTCCGCTCGGGTGCTGGGCGCGGTGATACCATACTTCCTGATGGATTCTTCTGCAATATCGGCACAAGGGCCATCTGACTGGGCGAAACCCAGGTAGTTGTACGAGCTCAAATTCAGGGTGTCGGTTGTGGTGCCCGTCAGGAAGAAGTGCTGGTTATGATCATCCGTGGCCCGATCGATGAGAGTGATGGTACGGCCGGGCACACCAGTTACGGGGCGCTCGAAGCAGTCGTTGATACGCAATTTCAAACGACGCACGTAAAAGTTATCGAAATCGCTGTTGAGAGCGCCATAGCCATTGCGAGGCTTGAGATGGCGGTAGTGTTCCTCGCGGAATCGCTTGCCAAAGAAATCACGGACATGTCCGAAAGCAATTAGAATTAGGTAACTGATATAGGTGGTGAGCAGGTAATAATACGGCGGCTCATCCATCACCGGCTCCGGGAAAACACCACCAGGGTGTTGGCTGGAGTATCGGTGGCTGGGATGACCGATCGGACCAAACTGGGCATGTTGCTTGGCCAGCCGACGAGCCTCCTCCGGGCTCGGAGGCTGGAAGAGTGTTGTAGGCAGCTCGTCCATACTGGGATTATCCGCGGTGGCTGTTGATAGAGAGATCGTCGGTAGGGACAGTGAGGCCAAACTTATCGGCGGAGAAGAAGTGTTAGGTTGGTGCCCACTCTGTACAGTTTCCGTCTTTGACTTTGGCGAGGACGAAAATAACTGTGAAAGGCGATTGGACTTGACCGTGGAGGCCTTGATGGAGATACCGCCCTTTCCCGAAGAAGGTGAAAAGGACGGCGGGTTGGTAGAGGTGTCGTTGGAGGAGTTGCCGCTAAATCGACGAGGCATCGCAGGAGGAAACAGCGCAAGGTTTCGGGTCGGGTCTTTTTTTCCACGTCAGGATCGAAGGCGCTTTATGTTAGGCGCGTCCGGGTTGACGAATTCAAGGCAGGGACTACCGGAGGTAGTTGTAGTTGAAGGTTGAGGTTTTGGGTTGTGTGGGTGACTTCAGTCTTCGATGTCGATAGCAACCTCAGGCAATGTGTTCTGGAACCAATTAGTATTCTGGACCATCAATATCCTCCTGAGCCATGTCTGGTTCCCGAGAACAACCCATCGGGAACTGCCAGGTCACCGAGATTCACAGATCAAGACATACCACAAGGTTGATTCGAAGTAAGCGGGAGCCGGATGGTCCGAAGGGGCTTAAAAAAAATTGCGTGCACGTGGAATGGAGGGGGCAAGATACACGGGGCAAAGAGCCCTACGTTCAAATGACGAAGAGACCAATCTCGAGAAATCACAAACCGAAATGAGGATAGGATTGAAGAAGAAGGAGAGTCTGAGAAGGTAAATAAGAGACCGTGTTTCCTAACCTGTGAGCCCATGCACCTCCTGGTATTAATTAAAAACATCTGCAGTACCGTGATAATTCCATGTGATTGGTTCAAATTACCTGACAAGGAGGTAATATTACCATCTCAATACCACACGGTTTTTTTTCACTAAAATTTCGGACCCGACAAGGCCCAAAGCTCAGAAGACCAGTCGACCAGTCCAGAGAGATGTCCACAGATGTCCACAGATGTCCACAATTGACCCATTTTGCCCCTGAAGTTGTGCATTTTGCATTGAGTAGGACTACAAAGTTACAAAGTACAGTGATTATTGGAGATGGTGTAAAAAGGTCAGTATTTTTTTATACTCATCCGGTATTTCCGAGTCCTTTGGAATAGTCAACATGCCAATTTTATCGTGACTACATCACCACTATGAGGATTCGAAAACGGCTTGGTGCCTGAGGCATCATTTTCAATCCCATATGAGATCCCGAGGTCCAGACGATGTATGGACTCTGATATGCATATATATCTTGTATGTTGTGTATCAAAGGCATAATTCACAAGTCACAATTGTCCAAGGGGTTTTGTAGCGATCCCCTTCCCCGTAACCGCGGAGATCGGCAACTCAGTACCCGATCATTCCCGCCCCTACCCCCTGGGGTACTGGCATTTGACTCGCGCTTGACTTGTCAAGCTTTGACCCCTGTCCCTGCAAAGCCCTGCACAGCCCTGCAAAGCCCTATCAAATCATTTCAATCCGTTGGGAAGTCTATTGCCACATTGTGGGAGAGTGTAACAATAGACCAGGCCCAATCTCAGTCTACAGTCAACAGTCTACTCGACATCTACACAACACTCTGAATTCCACTTGGCTGCTGCTATTGCTACAAACACCACTATGCCTCATATCGATGAAGTCGTTGAACCGGAGGTCAAGCTCTGGCAACCCTCTTCGCCTGAGACAACCCAGATCTATGATTTCATGAATAAGGTGAACAAGAAGTATGGCTTGTCACTGAATAACTACGACGCTCTCTGGCAATGGAGTGTATCGGAACCAGCCCAATTTTGGGAAGAAATCTGGCACTATACGAAAATCAATGCTCATACTCCATACCAACAGGTGAGTAATTCCGAATTCGACCCTGAATTTATTACATCAAAACCAGAGATATTCAATCCTAACTCGATCGATATAGGTCCTTGATACAAAGGATGTGATATTTCCCAGACCTTCATTCTTCGAAGGCAGCACTTTGAATTTCGCCGAAAATCTCCTGTATCCCGCCACATCGCCGGATGAAGATTCCGTAGCAGTGATTGGCGCCACTGAAGCAGCCCGCGAATTTATCTCGTGGAAGGAACTGCGAGAGCGAGTTCGATTGTGCGCAAATGCTTTGAAAGAAGCAGGTCTGAAGACCGGAGATCGTGTTGCTGGCTTCGTAGGCAACCATGCTAATACTGTCGTGGCAATGTTGGCCGCAGCTTCAATCGGGGCCTTTTGGACTGGCGTGTCACCTGACACCGGTGTGCATGCTGTCTTGGAGCGTTTGAAGCAGATCCAACCTAAAATTCTCTTTGCGGACAATGGCTCCTTTTACAATGGCAAGGTGCATAGCTCATATGCCAAGGTATCGGAGATTGTCTCTGAATTGCCAGACCTTGAGCTTTTGGTGCTCTTTATCACCACCCCAGAACCTGAAGTCAATCTAGATGACCTTCAACCTGCAAATGGGAAAGCAAAGGTTTATGATGATTTTATTTCTGAGGTCAAGAACCCCCGAGCGCCATTGGAGTTTGCGAGCTTGAGACCGGATCATCCTGTCTATATATTGTACTCATCCGGTACAACAGGAGCTCCTAAGCCTATCGTTCATGGGTCACTGGGCACATTGTTGCAACATAAGAAAGAGCATCTTCTTCACTGTGACATTCGACCAGGTGATCGCTTGTTCTACTTCACAACGACAACCTGGATGATGTGGCACTGGCTCGTGTCAGGCTTGGCCAGTGGAGCAACAATCGTCCTTTACGATGGTTCACCCTTCCGACCCTTCGATGTTGAAGGCGGGAAGGGAGAAATGGCCATGCCGCGACTGATCGAGGAGCTTCAAATTACCCACTTCGGTACATCAGCTAAATACCTCTCTCTCCTCGAACAAGCTGCTTTGAACCCTCGCAAGCATACCCACAGGCCAGTGTCGTTGAAGACCTTGAGGGCCATCTTCAGTACTGGATCCCCGTTGGCACCATCCACATTTGAATACATTTATTCCTCTTTCCACCACGACATCATGCTTGGTTCCATCACCGGTGGCACGGACATTCTCTCTCTCTTTGCCTCCGGCTGCCCCATTCTCCCAGTCTACAAAGGAGAAATCCAATGTCGCTCTTTGGGCATGGACATCTCAGTGTTCGATTATGCTGGCAACGATATCAGTGCAACAGGCGAGCCCGGTGATCTTGTCTGTATCACACCCTTCCCTGCCCAACCAGTCATGTTCTGGCCCCCAGGACCAACAGGGTTGGAGAAGTACCGGAAGAGTTACTTTGACGTGTTCGGGCCCTCAGTTTGGCACCACGGCGACTATGTTCGTCTAAACCCACAAACTGGAGGCGTGGTCATGCTAGGCCGCAGCGATGGCGTACTCAAGCCATCCGGAGTGCGATTCGGAAGTGCCGAGATTTACAATATCCTACTCAAGCATTTCGCCGACGACGTGGAAGATTCTCTTTGCATCGGCCGCAGGCGAGAAGGCATCGACACCGATGAAACGGTCGTTCTGTTTGTCCGACTTGCTGCTGGCAATGAGTCTGGCATGCCGTCGGATCTCGTGGCACGCATTCAGTCCACTATTCGGAAGGAACTTAGCCCTCGCCACGTCCCTGGCATTATTGATGCATGCCCCGAAATTCCGGTGACTTCCAATGGCAAGAAGGTCGAGAATGCTGTCAAACAGATATTGTGTGGGCTTAACATCAAGATTGGTGCAAGTGTTGCAAATGCTTCATGTCTTGATTGGTATAGAAACTGGGCTTCGGAAAACCCTTAGCTTTGACATCCTTGATTAGATAGAAGAAACAGCGATTCATGCACTTTTATTTCCAAGGTTGTTGCAAATTAAATGTCGTCAAGCTACATTCAAATGTTTCACAACTATATATTCGAGCCATGCATGTTGTGGCCCCGTGGTAGGCGGACTAGAAACTTAGGCAAGCCCTGCTGCCTCTAGACACAAGTGAACAGACAGATTGAAATCAACACGGCTTGTTGTCAAAAGCATTAATAATACAACCCCAAAGCCCTGGAGGATTTATTATCGTTGAAAAACATCTGGGCCATCCGCCATGCAACGGATTAGCTAAGCATTTCGGATCGAGGCTCCATTACGATTCTTCGCCGATAATCCGTCCGAGCTACATCACCTCTTCCGATTATATTCGGTGCAACAAGAAATCTTGAACCGACCAGGCTGTTGAAATTGTACAGAATTATCCATCATGCGCCGCACAGCATTGCGGGCCCTCGAGTCCACGAAGCCATTGACACGAGCTCCTCGCGCCGTGTCAAGAAGCTTCTCTACCATCAATGATTCAGCCAAGGTAAGAGAGCCCCATTAGGTCCTGCGACTTAGTATTATCTGTGACTGACAAATTGTCTACTTGTCCGCAGGATCCCGCCGAGCTAGAACAAATCACCACACTCCCTAATGGAGTTCGCGTCGCCACGGAATCATTACCGGGTCCCTTCGCTGGTGTCGGGGTTTACGTCGATGCCGGATCTCGTTACGAAGATGAGAGCCTGCGTGGAGTCAGCCACATTATGGACCGTCTAGCCTTCAAGTCTACCAAAGCGCGCTCCGGAGATGAAATGCTTGAGATTCTTGAGTCTCTCGGCGGTAATATCCAGTGTGCCTCATCCCGGGAGTCATTGATGTACCAGTCGGCCAGTTTCAATTCGGCAGTTCCCACTACACTCGGCCTGCTCGCAGAGACTATTCGTGATCCCCTCATCACCGAAGAGGAGGTTATCCAACAGCTCGCAACGGCGGAGTATGAGATCGGCGAGATTTGGGCGAAGCCGGAACTCATCCTTCCGGAATTGGTGCACATGACAGCGTACGCCGACAATACTCTTGGAAATCCGCTATTGTGCCCTGAAGAACGGTTAGGCGAAATCAACAAGGCAGTGGTGGAGCGATATAGGGAACTCTTCTTCAACCCGGACCGGATGGTGGTTGCATTTGCCGGACTGCCACACGGGGAGGCTGTCAAGCTCACAGAGAAGTACTTTGGTGACATGAAACCGAGAGACATCAGCAAGATCAAGGGCCCCGTACTGTCAGGCAGTGGAATCGAAACCACGCTGTCTGATTCCCGAACAGTCGCCCACGAAGGCCAGGTGCCGACCGTTCCTTCGTTCACACCCTCATCGACAATCAGCAGCCCCGCTGCTTCCCAAAAAACACACTCTTCGCTCTTGTCGAAGCTTCCATTCCTCAAGAACCTCACTTCCTCCAAGGACTCCCCTTCAGTCGAGCCTCTCCACTCATCCCTAGTCGAGCCCCACGCGCTAAACCTCCGCCAACCTGCGCACTACACCGGTGGCTTTATTGCCCTCCCTTCAATTCCTCCGCCAGCGAGCCCCATGCTTCCTCGCCTGAGTCATATTCACCTTGCATTCGAGGCTCTCCCCATTTCCTCGCCTGATATCTATGCTCTCGCCACTCTCCAGACCCTCCTTGGTGGTGGTGGGTCATTCTCGGCTGGTGGCCCTGGAAAGGGTATGTACTCGCGACTCTACACTAACGTGCTGAACCAGCACGGTTGGGTCGAGAGCTGTATTGCTTTCAACCACAGCTATACCGACAGTGGAATCTTTGGAATTTCCGCATCCTGCAGCCCGACCCGGATCACGGAGATGCTCGAGGTCATGTGCCGTGAGCTGCAGTCCCTGACTTTGGACACTGGCTACAGCTCGCTGCAAGCACAGGAAGTCAACCGTGCGAAGAACCAGCTCCGTTCATCGCTGCTCATGAACTTGGAGTCTCGCATGGTTGAGCTTGAGGATCTTGGACGCCAGGTGCAGGTCCACGGCCGTAAGGTCAGTGTCCGAGAGATGTGTCAGCAGATTGAGGCCCTCACTGTTGAGGACCTCCGCCGCGTGGCTCGCAAGGTCTTCGGTGGCGATGTCCACAATGAAGGTAAGGGCACCGGTAAGCCTACTGTTGTGCTGCAGGAGGGCGAGCTGGAGGGCTATAAGCTTCGGACCTTCCCCTGGGAGGAGATCCAAGAACGGATTTCCCGGTGGAAGCTTGGTCGGCGATAAATAGTTGATTACACGCCTCTGAATTTGCGTGAATGTGTCGAGCATAAGGGTCATGTGGGTGAAGTGGTTGCATCTAGAGGATGATCTGTAATTATAGACCATGGCCAGCATTTCGACTCTGTAGAATACACCTCTCTTATCAAACAGGGTTTACCATAAATATCTAGCCTTTTCCATTCTTCACATTTATTGCTACCTCTTTTATCTGTTCACCCTTTTACCTTTTCACAATGGTCAGTTCATAAGATCACCAAAACAAATGACATCGTTGTCGGTGGGTCCGAGCTCTTCGCCGCTTTTCGGCAAAAAAGTCGGAGCGAAACCAGAGCGACTTTCCATCATTCAACCATCACCTCGAACTAGATCCCCTTCGTCATCCTCATCAAAACCGCCCAAAATGGTCAAACTCACCGAAGTCGAAGACGAGCACTTCACCGACAAGCCCACTGCCACCAAGAACGACGCTCTCTTGGTCTCTGATGACGAGGACGACTACTCAGACACTGGTTAGTATCGAATCCCGAACGCCCATACCTAAATGGAACCCGCCTCGCGCCATTGTCATTTGCATAGGGGATTGGTTCGATGGGAGGATACTCTGGTCCTTGGATTCCCTCGTATCATCCCAGTCCCAATCCCAATCCCTCCACAACGCGACCTCGAAACCCCAGAAATGAACACATCAGTCGCAAATAAATTCCAAGAATCTTATCTGACATGAATATCAATGAACAACAGACTCCGAGATCTCCGACGATGAGGATGTCGACCTTGAGGCCGAGTCAGTCTACGAGCGTATCGCCGCTCTGAAAGACATGATCCCCCCCTCCGCCCGCCGCACCGTCTCCAATACCGTCTCTTCCATCACAGACCTCACCAAGGCCAGCTTTTCATTCAGCGGCAAGGCCCTCTGGATTATCAGCACCAGTGCTTTCTTGCTCGGTGTGCCATTCGCTTTGGCCTACGCCGAGGAGGAGCAGTACATCCAGATGGAGCGTGAGCAGGGAATGATCAAGGGAGCTAACGAGGTATGTGTCTTGTGTTTCCTTCTGTTTTTATTTTCTTGGTTTCATCGATTTTGCAACAATTATCTTGATTCCCGATTCGTGCTGTCACTTGCACAATTGACACCGTGTACATTGCCTCGGGTATTCGCATCCCGGCAATATTCAAACCCTTTTCACAACATTATCACCACATGTCATCTTCACGCTCTTCACCGGCATTCTGGTCATGGAATCTTATACTGATTATGGTTCCTCCTTGCAGATGCTCACCCCCGGCACCGAAGCCGAGAAGGTGGCTCAACCCACTCTGTAAATTAATACCACTTCGGAAAGCAGAGAGATTGGCGAAGAATCCAGCGACACGATCATCGACCGCGAGACATGGTGCCATGCCAATAGCTCACTCAAGCGGATGTCGGCGCGATTTTGTTACAAACTGCGATTCCCAATCGCCTTTTTTTTGGGCCAGATCTCAAAATACAGGACTATAAGCACTCGAAAAGAGTTGGTTTCCCGATTCTCTTCTTGGCTTGACTTGTTCGGATCTTTGTTATACTTCTTGTTTTCTTACTTCCTTTTTATCTCCTCGCATCTCTCATGCTTTCTGACATTTTGGCTCCGGCAGCTTATGCATGCATGTATTTGTACAACCCCAATCATCTTTCTTCCTGTTTCTCTATACCTTTTTTTCTTCTCTCAACGTGCATGTCCAGGTAATGAAAAGGATGGGTTTGGTTATTCAATTCGCATTTTGTAGTTCTAGCCTTTTTGAATGGGTCAGATAAATCAAGCCTACAAATGCCCAAAACTGCATTGGATATAGATACTCAGTAGCCTTAGTACCTTGAGATAGACAGGTTGCCATTGCTATGCTGAGCCCGCTCCCTTTTGCCTCAGTAAGCTAGCTGGACATGATTGGGAATGTGCAACAAAAAAAGGGTATCATTGTGAAAGGTCTAGCATCAGAGAAAGTTCGCAAGAAATAGAGTAGACGTTGTAGAACAGACTTCATGGGGATTCATGATAAAGCCATCAGAGGACAAATGTTGATCCTCGGGTCAAGGCTCTTCGAAATGACCATCTCATCATCCATAGATAGACTTTATATAAGGAAACGCTGGTCAGCATCATGGAAGCACTGAGAACGAATACCTAAGAACATACCTCTTTCTCGCGGGCAGACTTGAGATTGATATGGAAGTCACGCCAAAGCTTATCGACTTCACCACTTCCAGTCATGCTATCGAGGACTTCATTTGCATTTCGCGTCTTCCGCTTGACGCTCATGTCATTTCGTCGTAGGATCTCGTCGGCCTCCATGTGGCCCGCACGATCGAGAAAGTCAATGACCCATTCATTGAGATGGTAGCGCCAATGTGTAAGGGTGTGGGCGAGCTGGGCTCTCGCCTTGCATTGTCTGTTGAAACACAAGAAACCGGTTAGAGGGTGTAGTTGATTGAAATGAATGTCCAAACGAGACTTACCTTCCCAGAAAATACCGGATATTTTCGGGCGGAATGACATGGCCATCCCGGTCTCGTTCCTTTCCATCGTCTTCTTTACTAGAATTCTCACTGTCGTCGCTGTCATTATCATCATCTTCCAGTGGCTCTAGCGTCTCCAGGGAATAAGCCTTCCCGTAAAGCTTGACATCACTAGAAGCGGGGTGTCCAGAGCGCCTGCAAGCATCGCAGGGATGGTTCTCCTCCGTGGGGAAGGCAGCGATCTCAATGTGTGGACGGGCCTGGAGGGCATATACGAAACTGGGGTTCCAGACAGAGGAGATTAGCTGTGATCCAGCCCGACCCTTAACTTCATCTTCTAGCTTCATGAAAGCCATCTTGTACATGTCATCAGAGCGAGGGAAAGCTGGGTTGAGTTTGTTTTGCACCATCCAACCGATGACGTCGCGGAAATATTCCTTCGGTTGCTTATATGCATGTCTGGTAAACTCGAAGGGTATCTCCTCAGTGGGAACGCCGAGATCGTGCTCGTCTTCTAGGACAAAGTCATCCTCGTACCGATCAAGGTTCTCGTTAGGGTCGATGGCTGATTCTACGTCGCTGTCATCGTTGTGATGCCGCCAGAGACCACGACCAGAGGGACTGGCATCGCTGCCAGGACGTGAAGTCTCCTGCGCATCTGAATCGTCTTCATCTTCATCAACTTCTTCTTCTTCTTCATCCTCGGATTTTACACCAGCGCGTCTGCGGCGCAGGGCTTCAAGGTGTTTCATTCTCTTGTCTCGGGCAGATTCGACATTCCGGCCGCGAGTTCGACTTTTCTTGACAACTACGCATGATTAGCATTAGCATATCCAAACGAGCCTCGTAGGTCAAGTAATTCCTACCTGAATCCTGGAGGTCCTCCAGATCCTCTGCGATATCGAGTCTGGCCTGTTTCGAGATGTGGCGGGGGGTGTGGGGAACTTGAGGACTTGCTTTCTCCTGTCCACGTCGGAGCCTCTTCACTGGCGAGGAGACCAATAGCTCATCTGAGGACTCGTCGTCACTTTCGGTTACTACAGCTGGCCTTACTACCCTGCGCCGCTTGACGGTCGAAGGAGCCACCGACTCGTTTGAATCATCGTCGCTGAGTAGAAGAGGTGAACTTGAAGAGTGGCCCTCTCGGTTAGACCTGCGTCGTTTGCTGACTGAAGAGGCCACAGGCTCGTCTGAGTCGCTTGGGTCAATCGGTGAGCTTGCGGCCTTTCGCTTGAGTGCTCGGCGCGGCCGGGAGAGCTCCTCCGAGTCAGAACCACTTGTCTTCTGAGTATTCTTCTTTGGGAATTGCAAAGATGGTTGTGACTTCCTTGAGTGGGATTTCTTTGTATGTTGGGTGTCCTGAAGCTTTGGTGGGCTGAGGATCACTTCGAGGTTGTTAGGTGGCGCGACTTGCTTTCTCTTCTGGGAGGCGGGGATGATGGGTTCGTCTAAAGATTCATTGCCCGATTGGTCTTCTGTAAACAGCTCATTTTCTGGATCTTAGCTTTCAGGCTGCATTAATGAGAGACATCATCACCGTACTTGCGGGTTTATCATTGGATCTCGTCTTGGTGGAGAGCTTCGGACGTTCTTTCTCGGGCGAAGTTTCCGACTTGATTTTTGAGGCTTTTGGAGGACGGTACGTGCCCAGGCTTGGGTTTTCATATTTGAGCGTTGCAAATCGGTTGCTTTCCTCCGGGTTCACATCCACTGCAGGCGAAGCAGTCGCAAAGGCAAGTCGCGTCTGCTTTTTTTTCGATTTGCGGGGTGGCATTGCAACTGAGGGTTAGAATAGCAGAAGAGGATGGACTAGCAGGTAGAGTATTAGGTTCATATATCCAGGTCAGTCATAGCAGAGCTAAAAGAGAAGAAATATGTTCAAAGAAGAATGAAGCCTGAATCTGTCACGTCAGAGCGGGACCTAGCTGTCGCGGATCGCGTTGGGAGAACCACGAGAGCACGTGATCTGTATACCTACAAGATCAAATCATCTATGGAGCTTTAGATGAAAAGGATTTTGTGAGACACATGCCTGATAAGAGGCCCTTGTGCCTTTGATCGGAGAGATAAGAACGAAGCGAGAGAAGTATAGCAACTTCAAATGTTGCGGACAGATGCTTAATTCTGGTATAGATTGTATGGAGTGATTGATCACAAGAATCTTGAAATATGTTACATTGAAACTCCTATTCAAAGGAAGAATAAATATACATCTAGCTATGCGGGCATAGTTTGGACAAACCCGTGCAATCATCATAGAAGACATAGTGGTTTGTTCTTATAGAACCATTCAAAAGATATTGGAGCGTCCACAAGCTATATAATATTCTTTATAAGTTCAATATTTGATGGATCTTTTCATCTGAATTATCTCCGCTTTGTTAAAATGTCTTTTTTGAGGCTATTGTTGACAGAATAAACTGAAGGCAAAATGTCCCCTGTTTGGGGTCTACAGTATCTATGAAGTCGAAGACTAGTCATGTAGCATGTAGTATTACCTTCTTTTTCTCTTTGATGTTTATAAGTGTATATATTGTAATGGACAGGTACGAAGGTAGATATGACCGAGCAGAGATACGTCAGAAAACTGGGATATCAACAGGATATAAGGAATACAAAACTATGCTTGTAAGTGGTAACTTGATGCATCTCTCTCCAGGCTATATGGGTAAATCCAGCCCTATCTACTCCATACAGGCTGAAAGAATCACGGAAGTCCAGTCGCTTAATATCTCCTATTTTCTTTTAGTTTAGCGCCATATGCTCAAAGATCTTATTTCTACCGTATTCCTTCACCATTTCCCCTATTGGTGGAGTTGACTTTCTCCCACGCCACTGTCATTCAACCCGCCGATTCGTGGAAACTTGACAACTTCATATCGCCGGAACAAAAGCTTGAAAAATATCCTCGAACCCCAGATCACCATTACCCCAGGTCCGGCATGTGCATTTGAGAAAGCCTCAGACCAATAAGAAATCGAAGGGATAGATATGCTCTGCCCATGTGCCATTGACTCCAGATACCCCACCACTCAGCGATCTTGGAGACAAGGGCTCCCCATTATCCAAATGCCAAAAGAATCTTAGTGCATCCGGGGTTGTCGATTCTGGGGATGGTCTGATCCACATGGGGTTTCCTCGCTCACATGGGCTGGGGTTTCAGTTTTCGCCTTCGGAATATGCCCTAATCTGGTCTTATTATATAGCTGTGGTCTCCGCCCACTCAGGTGCACCCCTGTAGTGTAGCTCATCTTTGAACTGTTCACCCATATCACTCGAGGGATACAGTTGCTCATCTGCCACTGCCCACTCTTGTCTTTGGATACATTGGTGGAGCTTACCTCATTTCTAAACGGTCCGTCAACATCAGAATGGGTCTCTCAATGAGCCGCAAGAGAGCGTACAACTGGTTGGTGCACAGTCTCTTACTCAGAAGAAAATACTCTAACCCGACTATCTAGGTACATCTCTTGTGTTGCAGCATCATGCATGGTGCTCTACGGCTACGATGCATCTGTGTTTAACTCCGTCCAGGGTTCCAAGAACTGGCTGGCTTGGATGAACAACCCAAATGCCAACACAATCGGCTCGATTAATACAGCATACACGGTCGGAGCTATCTTTGGTGGTTTCTTCCTGGGAGGACCATGTGCAGACTTCCTGGGTCGCAAGCTTGGAATGGCCATCGGCTGCATTTTGGTCGTTATTTCCACCTTCATGCAAACATTCGCTCCTCGCCATAACCTTGCTGTCTTTCTTGCCGGTAGATGTATCATCGGTATTGGTCAGGGTATTGCATTGAGTAAGTCTTTGTGCGCTGCGTTGTTTCAAGTGCGTTGACTAACGGAATTACTCGCAGCTGCTGGCCCTATCTACATTGGTGAATTGGCCCCAGCAGAGATTCGTGGCAAGATCATGACCTTCTGGCAGATGTTCTACTCTGTTGGATCGTTCATCTGCTTCTGGGTCAACTTTGCCTGTACCAAGAATGTTGACAAGTTGGGCGAGTGGGATTGGAGACTGGTGGTCATTTTCCAGCTTTTGGTCCCCGTTATCATCCTTGCCCTCCTACCGACTGTCCCTGGCAGCCCCCGTTGGTAAGTCCCTTTTGAAAATTCCCAATGGCTCTGAGCAATTCTGATCGTCACTAGGTATATCCAGAGAGGAAATAACATCGAGAAGGCCCGAGAAGCTCTGCATAGAGTTCGCGATACCGAGGAGGAAGTCGAGCAAGAGCTGCTGGAGATTCGTGAAGCCCTCGAATACGAGAGGGAAGCCATCTCTAGCAACTACTCTGCTCTCTGGAAGGACAAATCTCTCCGCAAGCGTATGGGTCTGGCTCTGGTTCTCAATGCCGGACAACAGATTACCGGACAAGGCTCGCTCAACTCATACTCTACCAAGATCTACCAGAAGGTGTTTACTAGTGACAGCCAGATTGCTCTGATCAACGCTCTAAACGCCACCTTTGGAATCTTCTTCACCCTGAACGCCGTCTGGATTATTGATCGTTTCGGAAGAAAATTCCTTCTAATTGTCGGTGGTATCGGCATGGGTCTCTGCATGATTATTGTATCTGCCGTCGAAACTGAAACACCACAACTACCTGATGGATCCAAATCGACGCCTGTCGGTATATCGATTGTATTCCTCATGTTCTTGTTCATCTTCTTCTGTAAGTTCCCTCTACTCACTACCCCCAGCCCGGCAAACGAAAATCCACTAACATTATCTCCCAGACAAACCATCTTGGGGCGCAACAGTATGGATTTGGACATCCGAGATTTTTTCAATGAACGTCCGCGCCCAGGCTGTGGGTATGGCATCTCAGACTCAGAACGTCGCCAACGCTATTGTTCAACAATTCTTCCCTCTTTTCCTCGAAAACGAGGGCTTCTATGCCTTTTATATGTTTGCCGGTATCAACTTCCTACTTGCTGTCTTCGTTTGGTTCTTTATTCCAGAGACCAAGATGGTTCCTCTGGAGGAGATCGATACCCTGTTTGGTGGTGCCAACCATGTTACCCAGGGAGAGGAAGTGATGGCACAACAGAAGGGAGCCCATATGAGGGAGGAAGGAGACGAAAAGGCTGATGCTGTCACTGTTGAGCATGTTCGAGGCTAGCTAATATATGTTTGAATGCTATAATTTGGGTATACCGATCGCGATGTGCGTGTCTGAAAATGTTATAGTTCACACAGACTTGTATTTAGCAAGCAGTATTTAATGCAAGCGCGCTGAGCGCGCTTTACGAAGTCCGTTCACTTACGGAGATCAAGAAGCATATGAAAAGCGGGGGCCACAGTGCTTTGGAAGCGGCTATGACTAGCTTCCAACAATCCTACAGAACCAATTTTTAACCAGTGGAGAATGCTAAGTCGCACTTGGATTCAAGTATTTGTCGTGTTCCTAGGCCAAGGGCGTCACCAAGGCTGTGATGATGATGATGATGATGATGATGATGAATTCATTGACCCGATGTAGCTCGCTAATTACATACATGCTGCTATGCGGGGATAGCGTCCCAGAGCCTGCTCCCGACGACGAATGGTGGTGCATCCCCAGTATACAAATCCACCCGGTATGCTGGACTCGATTCCTCGAGGTCCCGCAACCTGAATTGTAAGGCCACAAACCGGCCGGCAAAAATGCAAAATGACATAAGAAATTCAAATGTAAAGAAAGTAATCCATCCTATATAGATCCATGGAAGGTTTCCCGTATTCCCCACGGGCGCAGAGAGACCCCTTTTCTCTTTACAATACACCTTTCGCTTCCTCACTTCTTCACTTCTCTATTTCTTCACTTCTCTATCTCCCCTAGCTCCCCGAGTCACCGAGTCCCTATATCACTAGGACTACTAGGTCTGTATCACTCCGGCAGGTCGTACACGAATAGATTCGGGTCGCGACGCTATGCTTCTTTATCCTCGCCGGCAATAAACGTTGTTCTCTATATACGTTGCTATAAGGTGACCTCGGTAGACCTAGTGCCCGGCCACTAGGTTGTGCGTCCTGTTTCTCCAGCACTTATAGTGTCTTGTTTTGGTTTTGTTTAGTTAGGATCTTAGTGATCCTTTTATATCCCCTCCCCCTTCTCCTTACCTATAGCGACCGAGTCCACTAACTAAAACTATCCTAGGAGTCCCGATACGATTATAAACTTTACCACGATTGGTGCTGCCTTCACTTCCGTTAATATCGCTGTTTCCCCGAGCGTTGTCAACACCCCTTCCTTAAATAATTCCTCCACTATATCTATCCGGAGTTCTTCTAGGAGCGGATATTTAAGCAATATATATCGGACACTTTAGTTTCCTAGGTTATATTAGCACTATAGCGAGTCCTTCCTCTTGATTTTGGATAGGTATTCGGCTAGTCCGATAATCCCTATACGGAGCTAGATTAACACTAATATTATCGCTTTCCTTAGGCCCTTCTAGTAAGTTAGATTTGACTTATTTGGCGCCTCGATTATCCTCTAAGTCCTCTGCGTAGTCCTTCCTCCCTTTGTCTATACCTTTTCCTACGCGATCGTTAATTCCTACTTAATACTCTTACTCGCTACGGTGGTAAGCCGGATATATCTATTATAGTGGTTTGTTTCTTAGGTAGTAGCCACTATTTTTGCGAAGATATCGACTATCTTATTGCCTAGAATACCTTTATAGGCTAGGATCTATCGTAATTTAACCTAGACCCCCTAGCTAGTAAGCTATTCTAGTAACTAGAGGTATCCCTCTAGGTATACCTAGCCGGATGGTATTTATAGATTTTGGATAGCTTTAAGAGCTATCTGGTTGTCTATAAAGATAACCGCGCCGCTCTCTACTAGATAATCCTTCTATTAGTTATTATCGCTATTATTAGATCTTTCCTTAATAACTTCTAGTGCTATTTTAATTACGCGGAGCTTAGTAGTGTACACTATAGTATCGTTATTAGATCCTATATTATATAGTCTAGCCTCGTTCTAGCTATATAGGTATACTAGGTATACTATAGCTCTAATACTGCCTTGATACCTACTCCTATTAGTATAAAGTTATATTAGTGCCTATAGTTATTGTTTCGCGATTCTTTTGTGGGTGTTCCTTACCTACTCTCTTTCCTCGATATATATCTTTAGTAGTCTACTCTATAGTGCCTAGATATATACCTTCTAGCTCTCCTATTCGCTCGCTAAAGTTCCTAGGTAGGGTGTGGTAAGATATCTATCTTTCTTCTAGGACTAGGCCTCTATTAGTGTCTATCCCCCTATTATTATTAAACTAGATTTCTCTCCTTTTATATTGTTTTTAGTATTATATATCTTAGTCCTATATATATACAAATAGTAGTTAGCTAGACTAGCTAGTCTAGCTATTACTATATTAGTAGTAGGTATAGTTCTATATTAAGAGCTTCCCTAGCTATTATCTCAAAGGCGCTACTTATTAAGTATACTACTTTCGATTATATACCGGCGAATTACTTTATATAGCCTCTCTCCCTTAGGGTAGTGGTTAATAGTGAGTGCTACGCTACCGCTCCGAAGAGTATTTGTGGGATTATCACCACTTAGTAGATAGCCTATATAGCCGAAAGAGACACTCCCTATATAGAGCTAGTTAAGCCCTATAGTGCCTATAAGCTAACTCCTACTTTAGTAAGTATATACTCTCGATATAGTTAGAAAGTTAATCCTAGGTCTAGCTAGACCCCTAGATATCTTTCTGCCGATATTGATACCTATACTGTAGTATCTAGTAGGACTAGTGGTATATATTCCTCCCTCCTATCTAATTCTAGGTTAATAAAGTGGATTAATACGTATTTCTTAGGGTTAAATACTAAGGTATATCTAGCTACCTAGGTATTAGTATATTAGTAGGCTCTCTATAGCTTAGAGATATTCTCTTCCTCGGTCCTCTCTATAATAATAAATACTATATTATCGACCTAGGCGCTTATCTTTACCCCTTTATAGCTATCTACTAGATCTATATTATAGATTAGGTATAGGATTAGTGAGAGAGGTAAACCCTATAGGATACTAGTTAGTATTAGGATACTTACTAAGATCCCTTCTAGTATTTGGATATAGGTACTCCTTCTTATAAGGAATACTCTAATCTATAGTACTAGCTACCCTAGCCGCTATTTATAGAGGTTATAAATTAACCTCTTATAGGAGATATTATTGTAGGCCCTAGAGATATTAAGTATAAGTATACTTACCACCTTATCGAGTCCCTATACCCTTTATATCCTACTAATAATCCCCTAGATAGCGTGGTTGACTAAGATACCCTTTCTCCTACTAAGATATATATTTAGGAGTAGTCCTTCTATCTCGACTATATAGCTAATCCTTCGCGTAATCACTACCTTAAGGAATTTACTAAGGGTATTTAGAAGGGTAACTAGCTAGTAGGACTTTGTAAGCTAGTAGTCTCTTTTATCTACTTTATATAGTACCACTATGATCGATTTTTGGAAGTGTAAAGGGTTGGTTCTAAGCTATATATAGGTGTTATATATCTATAAGATATTATTGAGGACCGCTAGGATCCCTATTAATTTATACTATAGCGAGTTCGGTAGGCTATCCTCCCCTAGCGCTTTATTTAGTGGTACTAATTTAACTACCTATCTAATTTCTTGGTATATGATTTCTAGGAATTAGATTAGTATATAATTAATCCCTATTAGGTTAATATCTAAGAGATCTGCTAGCGGCGGCACTAGAAAGAAGGTCTATTGGAAGGTAGTTACTTTCTCTTTAACTATCTCTACTAGGCTTTCTATACCTAGAATCTTAATTAATAGTATAATCCCTTTATTATATACTCCCTATTGGTTTCTTACCTATTTACTTATCTTCTATATTCTACCTAGTCCCTTCTCGATAATCTCCTATACCTTACGCCGGTGGTGAAGGTAGAGAGCGGCTTTGATTATCCTAGATTTATGGTTCCTTACTATATTATATATTTCTTTATTATATAGGTCCCCTATACGCTTATATTATCGGTGAAGGTATCGAACCTACTTTACTACTACCTGGTACTCCGGTGTAAATATAGGATTTAACCACTAAGATAGGATAGCCTATAGTGTTAATGCTTCGACTACCCTAGTGACTATTTTAATTAATACCTAGTATTTGGTTTCTACCTCCTCTATCGTTATAAGGCTAGTGAGCTAGTTAGTTTATTAGTTAATAAATTCCTCTAGTTTCTTCTTATCTATAGCTTTCTAGTTCCTTCTCTTTAGTGGCTAGTATAGTGGTATCTTAATATCGATTATTATTACCACTAGGTAGTGGTCTAATCTATAGTTAGTACTAATCCTATATTTAACTATCCTCTCTACTAGCGAATTACTGATAGAGGTAAGGTCAATAATAGAGGCCTATTTATTCCTCCACCACATTACTATCCCCCTTTCTATTATTATTCCTATATTATATTCCCTAAGAATATTAAGTAGTCGCTTAGTAGTAGTATTGGTTTTAATACTATCCCCCCCTACAATAGGTAGTAGAGGTTTATATCACTAACTATAATATACTTAGTGTATAGCCTCTATATAAGTTCCTTACTAAGTTATTTAATAGTTTCGCTATTATCGTTGTGATATATATTATATATAAAGAGGTTAGTCTAGCTATCTAGCTAGCGGTAGGTCCTCTATATCTTTAAGAGCTAGTATCCTTTCGATACTATCTTATATAACTAGGTCCCTAGATCGATTTTCTTCGAGATAAAGAGATATACCCTTACTTATTCCCCTTTAAATCCCCTCGGAAATATAAGTTAGTGGGTTACCTTATTTAGGTAATAGGTTATTAGTTCTATATAAGAGCTTACCTAGGGTTCCTAGATTGTAATAATATCTACTTTTTGGACTACTTTATTAGTTAGGAATAAGGCTATAACTAGATAGGTATTATATATATTATATTAAATTATTTAGAAGTGATTTATTGTGATAAGGTAGTAGTGTGGGTATTAGTTTCGGCTTTAGTAGTATCACTATATTCTAAGGTATTATAGAACTCCTTCTCTAGGTTATCCTCGACCTTAGTGATCCTAGGCTATACGTTTTAATAGTGTCTTACTATCCTTGTGATAACGCTAGTTAGCTATTCCTATTCCTAGTCTTTCTCTATAATATCGGTAGGCTCTATTATCCGCCTTTTCTTATATATAGCCTATAGCTACTTCTTAGGGTCTATTATAAACTTAGCTAGTGCCTAGTTTTAAGACCGGAGTGAGTGAGTAGATTAGCTTACTATAATAGTAGATTCGGTATATTCCTCTAGTATAGCTAATAGGTTATTATCCTCCAATATTCTCGATCTAGTTTGTATAGCTAGGCTAGTAACTAGTCCCTTTCGCTAGGTTTATTTCGCTAGTTTCTCTATACTAACGCTTACGTAGAGCCTCCTAATCTCGCTTAACGCTAGGATCGGGATTCGCTTAGAGCTTACTTTAACGATTATCTTTAGTTACAATACTATTATCGCTTATTATACTATATTTTGTGGTACGTAAATTAAGGTATTAAGTCCCTATTCGCCCTAGGACTAGGAGGTAGTGGTACTACCCTTTATAGCCTCCCTCTACCAGAAGTAGAGTAGTACCTAGTGGTATAGAGGGCTATTAGCCAATACTAATCTTACCTCCTCCTTTACCACTACTCTTACCTCGTAGGTATCACTTATCGGCCTATAGGCCCCGCTATAGTTAGCGTATTTAATCTCGGCGGTGTTACTATATCTAGAAGGGTACTCCTAGGTTAGGTGCTACTTTATATAGTAGCTATACTAATGGTTATTTAGGTACTATAAGTGAATATATCCTAGCTTTTAATACTTAAGGTATAACTTCGAATAGCCTTCTTGGTAGAAATAGGTGGTCTAGTGTACCTAGTACTACTAGAGTGTCCCCTATATAATCGCCTAGTTAGTAACTACTAGGCTAGTAAATTTAATAATAATTAAACCCTCCTAGTGTTTACCTAGTTTAATTAGCTAGCTAAGATATAGAATCTTAACCTCCTAGGAACCACCCTAGGAATAGCTATTCTACCAGATAAGCTCCTTCGCTATACTCCCTATTATCTCCGGTATTAGTAGTATTATCTTTGTATTAATACCCTACGTAATAACCCCCTATATCGGCTTCCGAATATAAGCCGCTAGGCCGAACAATTTTAGCTAGCTATCTATATATTTTCGTAGTAGCTCTATACCTAAGGTACTATCCACTGTTATCTTAATATCTCCGGAGGGGAGAACCTTTACTACTATAAAGTAGTATCTACTACTAAGGGGAGCACTAGCCTTCTTCTATACCGCCTACTTATATATCCTCTCGGCCTACTCGATAATCTCCCTTAGTATTCGCCGACGGAGGGTCTCGCGGGTATCGCTATCTCGGATTTTAACGATAATCTCCTAGTCTTTATAGAGCTTAGCTAGCGAAACCCTAACTAAGGATAACCCGTTACTACTAGTCCTTAGGAGAGACGGAGGAGGGCCGGATCTAGTCCCCTAGCCCTATTTCTAGAGCCGCGCCTAGAAGGCCGCCGAATCGTTCGAATTGGTTATCTATATAGATATCGATAGCGATATTGTCGCCTTGATCGCCGTCGTCGCTTTCTCTATAGTTTCTATACACTAGTCGAGTCGGTTAAGTGCCTATTGTACCTTTTCTATAACCTACGGTTTATCCCCCTTCGGGGGTTTAGTGCGTACTATTCTACAGACTTAATAAAGTTAATAATATATATCTCACCTATTCCGTTATTTTCTATAGTATTAAGTACCTCTCTGGCACCCTAAGCTAACTTATTTATAGTGCTAAAGTGGTTACGTGGTTTCTTAGGGGGCGCTCTTGAAAACTTAGTTTTAGGGGGTGAATCCGGTTTTCTTCCACCACCGACGACTACCATCCTTTAATACCTACAAAAATAGGATCAAAAGATAGAGCCGGAGGTTAGAAAGAATATAAACTATTTTTGGGAGCCGTAGGGCCCTTGGTTGGCGAGATATAACAAAAATTAGATCTAAGCAAAAAGAGTTGTTTTTTTTCACCAAGGCTGTGATGTTGTGCCGACATGGCTAATATTATAGCATGCGAGATCAAAATCAGCGAACATATTGATATTCAGCATTTGGCTTGTCTGGAAGAATCACCTTCCTGGTCGAGATATATATCAAAGCTGGAGACGGAGGCCTAGTCAAACTGGCGACCGTGCCAATCAACTTGAATAAAACACAGAGCAGAACGTAAACAAGAGATTATAATCTATAACTGTACTTTACTAAGTGACATGTGGCGCCCTTTAAGGTGGAATTCCAACCGGAATCTCAGACTCCAGTCCCTCGACGAGCTTCAAGCCCGGTGGACCGGTATTCGGATTCCGATGCCGGTTTGCACGGCGCTACCTTAATCTGAAGCCATTAATTCCGTCCTTGATCTCTCTTCAGGTATTGTGACACTTTCAATGATCCTTAGTGATTATAACTCCTAACTCCGTGGAATCCACGGCATGGCGCTCCGGAACATCCCTATATATGTAGACCTCGATCGGCTTTTTTTTCACATAGATCAATACCGTCCCTAAAAGGCATGATCAGCATTGCTCTTCATTCTTGAGCTGCTCCTCCTATTCAAGCTACACACAGTCATCTCATCTACATCAGAAACTTCAACAATATGGCCCAGACCCCAGAGAACAAGGCAGCATGGCTATCCGCTTCCAAAGCCACGCCGCTTGAAATTGGCCCCGCGCCATACACGGCACCCGGACCTGGCCAGATTGTGGTGAAGAACGGTGCATTGGGCATCAATTCAGTCGACTGGGCTAAGCAATTGCTCGGCGAAGGCTTGTTGGGCCACATCAGTTATCCATTCATTCTCGGCGAGGACGTGGCCGGTACCGTTGTCGAGGTGGGCGAGGGCGTAGAGCGCTTCCACGTCGGCGACCGTGTTGTGGCTGCCGCTGCTGCCATATCCGTGAACACCTCCATCGAGGGCGGTTTCCAACTATACACAGTCATCCGCGAGTGGCTGGCCGCTCCGCTGCCAGACAGCCTTAGCTTTGAGCAGGCCAGCGTAATCCCGCTAGCCATCTTTACAGCCTCTCATGGTCTGTTTGACGCCGGATACCTGGGCCTTGACTTGCCCACCGTTCCCGCATCTTCCAGCAGTGAAAAGCGTGCTGTCATTATCACTGGTGGCTCATCCGCTGTTGGTGGTACTGCCGTCCAGCTGGCTGTGTCCGCCGGCTACGAGGTTATATCGACGGCATCGCCTAAGAACTTCGACTACGTCAAAAATCTGGGTGCCACCCACGTCTTCGATTACAAGAGTGAAACCGTGATCGATGACATCAGCGCTGTGGTCAAGGGACTCCACCTTAAGGGCGGGTATTCCATTGGCGATGGCTCCATCGAGCTGCTTGCTGCCGTACTGGCCAAGCACGAGGGCCCCTCTACCAAAAAGGTCATTGCTCTCGCTGGCGGCCAGCCCACTGGCGGCAGCATTGACCCGAGTGTCGAGGTCAAGTTCATCTTGCTCGGCCCGGACGCGGCTAGCCCCGAGTCTGTTGTGAGTAAAATCTTCAAGAACTACCTGCCGGATGCACTTGCGAAGGAACAGTTCATTCTAGCACCCGAGGCGACTGTCGTGGGTAAGGGATTGGAAAAGATTCAAGAGGCTTTCGGAATCCACATGCAGGGTGTCTCAGCAAAGAAGATTGTGGTCTCACTATGAGTAGATATTCATATATGATTGGCGTCTGCTCAGTCTAGCGATTATTTAGCTATCTACTACACATTTTACCTTTTAATCTACACCATGTCAGGACTCAGGACCCAGTGATCGGTAGTGCCCCACAATCCCCAGCGCAAAACGTTCAAGAGATAGGTCCGTAACGCCACAAGCCTAAAGTAGCAACACTAGAGGGTGTGACCGATGTTCATGTCATGTTCGAAATACTTTGTACCTAGCTCCCAGGTCAGACAACGATGCACAGCCAAGCGGTTAAGACTACTAGCTCATTTAGCTGCAGTTGCTTTCTATAGGTGCGCAAAAGATATATAATTCTCTGATTAGGGAAGTTACTATTCTCTATAAGAGGCCACAACGATACGGGCTACGCCCATTTCTCGCTAGACACTAAATACAACAATAAAACACCCCTTTGACCACCATTCTGCCGTTGAACTCTACCAAGATACTCTGAAGATTCAGCCATACTCACATGCTCGGGGTCAACCTCAACAATCGAACGCAACCAAAAAAAAAATAGAAATACCAGATCACCTCCCAATTAGCCAATGCCTAGCGTTCCGCAAAGCCCATTCAGGGGGTTCAACCAGGAACTTGTAATCAGTGTATCCGGACCCTTCTACTTATTATCAAGACTATATTGTCTATGATTTCAATCAGCATATAATTGTATCATCTAAAATTAAAGAAAATTCGACCAGTGGAAGTTGAGAAAGATTGATATATTTTCGGAGATCAGATGTGGATTTTGGATCTATGCTGGATCACTCTTTCTTAGTGAACCTCTATACTTGATTATATTTCTTGATAGCGCGTTTTCGCGCGTTCTTACACGTGATTGATATACTTAACTATATATTCACAATATTTGAATTATAATAATAAAATATTATGGGATAAAGGTCAGAAACGTGGTCTATACATAGAGTATCTAAAAAAGGCACGTTTTCGATATTATTTGCATTGTTTGGTGCGTTTTGGGCTTTATTGGGGGCCCACAGCCCACAGGTGGGCCTAAGGACTGGGCCCAAAGCCCAGGAGTGAGTGGGGGCGGGTTGGGCTTGGGCTTTGTGGGCTTTGCGGAGGCCCACCAATGCCCCACTGTGACCTGATCACATAATTAATGGCACCTTTATCCGTTCCTATATCTATTCCTTTATCTGTCTTCCATTCTAGATTGTGGTCAATTTTTCGAATTCCACATCCTCCTTGGTGTTCGTCGCGGACGGGACGCGACTTTCCTGAATGTTCTGCAGTCCCTTCACTTTCCTGATATCAACCCATCCCAAGCCCCAACCAAAGGCAAAAGTGGCGAGGCTGACTCCAATGCCGAGATACATAACATGGTTGATTGCCGTGGTGTAGCACTTGAGTGCGGCCGTAAGCTTATTGCCCGAAACAAGGCTTCGGATTGAACTCAGTCCGGTGCTGAGGAGGACGTCCGGGTTGACGCCAATCTCGGCGATGTTCTTCTGGAGCTCTTTGCGCAAGCCGTTGGTGAAGATGGAATTGGCAGCAATGAGGAAGACGGCACCGCCCATATTCTGACAAAAGATGATGATGGCCATGGCAATAGGAATCTGAGGAGGGGGGACAAGATTCTGGATAGCTATATAGGGCTTCAGGGGAAAGTCAAGTTAGCAAAATCCGATGAGAAATGGATCTAATGTTCGAAAGTAAGCTCACTGCCGAAGTCATAGCACCACTACCGACACCATAGAGGACTTGGTACCCAAGCCATTTTGAGGAGGAAGTTGTTGGCTTAATCATAGACATGAGTCCATAGCCAATAGCGGCCATTGAGCTTCCTGCCAGATTCCAGGGAAGGTAATAGCCTAGGATCTCGACTATCAAACGGTCTGTTTAGTGATGCCCTACGGATTTTGAAGACTGGGTGAAAGAGAGAGGGTGATAACGAACTCATCATTCCCGACAGCATAGTGAAAAGGACCAATCCCAAGGTCGCTGGCAGCATGTGCACACCGCTCATAATCGGACTGTTATGAAGCACAGTTTGGAAGTAAATCGCGAGGTAGTACTCGGCCACCAAAATCGCGCCGAGAAGGAAGAACAAGTTGCCCGCAGCAGACCACACAATGCGTTTTCTAAGCATCGCGAACGGTACCATGGCGCCGTCTCCCTGGCGGTATTCCCAGATCAGGAAGAGGATGAAGGTAACACCGGCGCCAACCAGAAGGCCGATGACAACAGAGCTACCCCATGGGTGCACTGTACCGCCATATTGCAGTGCAAGCAAGAACATGACAGCAGCGGGACTGATCAGCATAAAACCCGGGAGATCCAGAGACTTGACAGCTGTGCCGAGGACTTGTCTCGGGGGCAGCTTGGCGACCGGCTCGGGAATCTTGAAAAGGAACAGTAGAATGGCCAGAGCGCCGCCAATGGGAAGGTTGATGTAGAAGCCTGCAAGGAAAAGAAAAGAATTAGCAAGATGATGGCGGTCAGGAGGCTCAGTGAACAGAAACGCCAAAGCCACTTACACCAACGCCAAGTAACATTTTGGGTGAATGCACCACCAAGGATGGGACCCAGGGCAATACCGAGCTGGCCAATACCCATGTTCATGCCCAGGAACTGGGCTTGCTTCCTGCGCGGCAGGATTACCGAGATGATAGTCATGGTGCCGTTACCGATACCCGACGATCCAGCACCAGCAATGGCTCTGCCAACAATGAACATGGGAGACGAGACGGCAGCTCCACAGATGACAGAACCGAGTTCGAAAATAAAGAAGAAAGTGAGGAAGGTCCACTGTTTTGAATGTTAGCCTTTTCACTTTTGTCTCTCTTTTTCTATTTCATTTTCTTCTCTTTTGCAAAAACCACAGAGCGACCCTACCTTGGTATTGAAGTGGCTGTAGATCTTGCCAGTGAGCGGTTGCAGGGCAGAGCTTCCGAGCTGGTACGCGCCTCCATACCAGCCGACGTCGACCAGAGAGTTGAACCGCGCTGTGATGGCGGGAGTTGCGGTAGAAACAACGCACATGTCAAGGAAGACGAGAAAGTAGGCGATTGTAACAGGTGCTAGGATAGACCATAAGGCCAAACCAGTAGGAAACTTGCTCTCATCCTCTGTAGTGTCATCCTTGGAGCTGGCGCTGCCGGAGCTATGTTTCTCAACATCACCAGCCTCTGGTGATACCCTACTCGTGTCAACTAACCCCTCGGAGTTGGCCATAGCCATTGTTGCAATCCTGGTCGTGGTTTTGACAGAAGCTAATTCTTGATCTCTCCGTGCCGATGACAAGAGCCGTTTCAGTAGTTGTTGGAAGAAAACGCGATCAAGTTAGCTTGCAGCCATTGAGATATATATAGCAACATTGCAAGAGGACATGTTAAAAAGGGAAAGCAAAAGCTTAGGACAAGGACCGGAATCTTCATGTGAGAGTGAAGTCCTTTAGGGTTAATTGCTACAGGTCGGGACCGGACTCTGGAAATCCGGTCATTGTTCATGCCCCTGTAGGCTGACGGACTTAAAGAGCTATACCCGGACTCTACTAAGCTGGAACTATTTATATCAATAATAGAAGGGATTGAAAGGGGTCGGGACTATAAACATAGTCACATGGCTCACCGTGGCTTCAGACATCGGGTTTCTTACAGGCCATAGGAGCTCAAAACGATAGTTGCCCGTTCATTTCTTGAAACTCCTTCTCGAATCATCAAATATGAGGGGTGAATAGCTTCTAGACATTATTCCACACACAATTGTCAACTCATAGTGTGATACATGCACATAGATCTTGAAGGCACATATATGGCAGTATGCTGAGGCCATAGGTTCGCCCAGTGAAGATGATAGGGTTGGATCACGAAGTGTAGTTACGTGATCAAGTAAATCTGAGTCGAGCAGTAGAAGATTGCATATGCCTCATCCACAATAGTGCGATCGCCATACAAGGATACCGTAATTCATTGTTTGTGGGTAATAACTGTTCGTGACGACTACCTCTATTTGCAGTACAAGGATCCCAAGCTTCTACAAAGTAGATAGCATCTGATCGTCATAGTCAACAAAAAACTGATCTAACCATAACGTGGGACCTGCCTGTTGGGTATATGCCAACGCATCTGTATATGCTTCCGTGATTGGAGCTGTAGCTTCGGTGACATCCGGTATAATCCCGGCTCTAGTTCCTGCCTCCTTTGCTCTATGTGCCTCTTCCCGTTGGGGAAGTGGCACTGAATCGTGATATGCCGACTGGAACATGCGTAGACCGCGGGCTAGTTGTGTGAAAACACCGTCGACTGACCCGAGCTGCTCACCAGCCTCAGCAGCAGCAAGCTCTAGCTTATCCGCCGTGTAGGATAACAGGACGGGGAGATCAACGAGCCTGCTCACAGTGGCTGGGTCCCAGCCAGGTTCTTGGAGCGTGCTCAGTCGGTGCAAGGTGGCCAAACACCGCGCCAGCTGAGCCCACTGGATAAAAGAGACACCAAGGAGTCCAGATGGCGAGAGGGTCAGGAAGGTTGTCACGCACGACTTAATTGTCAGTGCTGACTGCCAGAAGCAAGATATGCGCGTGGGTCCATATCTCGGCGGTGACGAGGGAATGGAGTCTTGGAGGTGGACGGACTCTATAATACACATCTCTGTGTAATACGTCTGAGCGAGGAGGCCTATTTATTTGTCAGCGACCACTAGCTCATGTATTCCGAATAAAACCCTGAGCCGAGCTGGACACCTACCAAAGTGCTGCTGGCATGCTGGAGGGACAGACGCCCTGAGTTCCTGTACCTGGCCCATCAGTGTCTTGATGTAGAAGAGAGCTTGACGTGAAAGAGCCTCTGGTGGGGGGTGGTCAGGAAGCTGGGCTCGCTCCCAGACCTGGGCAGCCTTCATAGCGAGCAACTGCATGCGGACCTGAAGAGCCAGGGCAGCATCAGATGAGCATTTTGTTCCGACGCTGTTGCCGCTAGAGAAAATGGCAGCAAAACCTTCGTCCATTTGAGGTGTCCACCGTGGCGCATCGGCCTGAGAGAAGTAGGCTGAGAGCGCTGACCCCAACACAAAGCAACCTAGAATGGCTCGCTGGCGCTCAAGGTAGAGGTGGGTATCAGATGCCCCAGCACTTGCTGTCGTTGTCGTTGTCGTTGTCGCCGTAGTCGCTATCGGGACGCCATACACATCGTCATAGCCGCCGTTTGGTTCAAGGTGCCTTATTGTGTGCGAAACATCTGGTATAACTTGGTCATGAGAGCGCAATTCTCCAACCAATGATGTGGCCACCCCCATGAGTCGTGATAGACTGCGACGGCTGCGCAAGTGCTCCCAACCCCATGCAATGTAGACAAGAAGACCTAGCAGCAGATCGACTGTTTCATGCTGTGGTCGCTGCTGGTTCTGCTGCGATTGTCGAAGGAATGCCGTTTCGCAAAGCACACGCTTCAGCTCGAGGGAGCTTGCTTTGTTACCCTCGACCGATGCCGAGGTCACGCAAATAATGGCGCGGAACAGGAACGGTCGGTCTAGCTGCAGCTGCTCGGCCGTGAGGTGGGCAGGGAAATGAAAAAAGGGGAAGTGGTGCAGCATACGTGAGCAGAAGATATCAATAGAAACCGATGCAGGGGGTGGAGATAAAGAGGGCCTAGGCACAGAGGGCGATTCAAATGCGCCCGACCCGGTCAAGGACGAGGAGGTGGTAACAGAGATACCGTTGGCGCTGAACTCATTCGCATTGTTCATCGCCCACCAAGAAGTAGAGTCACCGACAGCGTCGGTATCGGTATCGTTTTCTTCATTGATAAAGGCGGGGGCGGGGCCCTTCACTGTGGCACTTCCCTCGATTCCTTCTGCGACCACGTCTGGATATGGAACGATGGGGGGAGATTGCTGGTGCGACCATATGTTGACTCTGTCTCCACGGGTGTTGTCCACAGAAAGTAGCGAGACTAGCTGGTCGAGGGTGCCCTCAAGTTTTGCGATACGGGCGTCCGATGAATTTTGCTTTTTATCGCTGCGACGGCGTATGGCATCAGCGGGATGGCACGGGCGCTTAAGACGGTAGCACCTGCATAAGGTATCCGTTCGTGTCAACTATTGTGCGCAGGCTAGGGGGTTGCAAGGCACAACCGCCAAAGCACAGCTCAGACTGACCTTTCACATCCATTGCCGTCCGAACGTAGAACGCACTTGCATTTTGTTTTGAAGCAGCTTAAACACGCTTGTCCATACGGCGCTGATCGACCAGCCATTCTCGGTCATTCACCCGGAGGTGGGAGCTATACGATGTATTCGTGTTTACAAGAGAAGGTAGATGAAAGAGGGATATCCAATCTCACCGATTACTTTGCACAGAGAGTAATCAGATTAGCCCGCTTTTATTCTCCGGGATTGCCCAAGCGGCCCGCCCCTGAGTCCATTGTAGATCAATCAAGTCTTAATCTTTTCAAAGTAAACCCGAATTCTGCCAAGCAATCATAAGCTTGCCAAGTGCACCTGTCTTGAGGCAAATCTATCATAGCCTCCAAAATGTATCGTTTGTATGACCTGTATAAAAGGAACTTACGATATGGATTTTCGCAACCCTCGAACTTGCTATAAGACACTAAGTGAATTATACGTAGGAATATCTTGCACTTTGGATGTATTTATTACTCCTGAAATGTGATCAATTGAAACATACTTCCTTTGGCCATGTCGAGGAATGAGCAAGAATATGGTACCTAAGTATCTTTTGTATGGTGAGGCCATACAAAATAAACCTCTCGCGGATAAATTTAGTTACTCGCCAAGCTACTCCGTACTCCGTAATGGATACACAACGTTACGAAAGTTACCGGGGAAATCCTGTAGCGCTTACAAGCATCTCACCGCATGATAATTGACCTTCCTTTTTTGCTCTCTGGGAGGTTTGTCGATATCAATGTCCCAAGGGCTTGGTATGCTTTGCCATAGGGAATAACTCGAGGAGTGGGACACCCTTTCCCCTCCTTTTCTTCCCAATCGACTATACAGTCTTTACTTGACGAAGACCTGGTAACAAACAAATATCGCTACTGTCGGTAAGGACGGGTGTTTTACATTCCGGTTGTACGGTAAGGTGTGATGGATCATGCCCTTCTGTAGCGTGCGTCATTATGAGGGGTCTTGCATTCTAGTCTTTCGCCAACAGCATAGTGGATGAATCATTGGAAGGCACACCATAGGCTGGGATTTGGGCAAAGGAATGTAAGTACTGGTCTGATACCACCTGTCTAACGGCATTCGACATGGACCCAAAGGCCGGGGGTTGCGATCTAACAGGCGGAAAAGACATCAATTAGGGCTCAGAAAGTCCGAACGCCCGGGAGTGCAGCATACACCTGGGCAGCAGTACCCACTTACAAAGCCAAAATGTCTACGGACTGTACTCCGTACAGAATCCAGAACCACAGACCAAAAGATAGAATGGTGACTTGCGGGTTTCTGCTATAGGTGAACCTTTTCCGGCTCACATACCACTATAAAGCTCTTCATCGTGTCTGTCGCAGTGGAAGACCACCCTATGCAAGGTGACACCGCCGAGACCGACTCGCAGCTCTACCGTGATATTATCTACCAGTTTCACTCCTCAATGCTTACACGTAGTTGCTGTTTGGGCTCAAGCTGTGATGCCATCGTCGCATCCCCCAAGACGGCTTTGACAAGCTCACGGCAGAGATATCTTGGTCAGGTGTTAGGATCCGTCGGTCTTCAGGCGCTGCCGTGGCCGGCAGGCGTCCCCGAGGGGCGAATCCCTGTCCGACACCGTGACGATCTCATCACACCCATGACCAAACTCGTCTCGGCCGCCGTGCCAATCCAGTGCTGTGCGGATCAGTCCTGACTAGCGCACCGCAGAACCCACAAATGGGCCCGGATCCTAAGCCCAAAGCCCAAAGCCCAGAGTCCAAGCCTAGTGGGCTATGGGCGTTGCCACTAAAGCTTCGTGAGGGCCCAAGGACCCCATCGTGGTCCAGCTAATTGAACAAGTATCCTGTAATCGCTGTATCCATTCAGTTTTTGGAATCAAAATTGCTATATAATTGTATATTTCAATTCTGAATAAAATCCAATAAGTGGGGATCAAGATGTCGCGGAAATGTTCATGTAAGTATGAATATAATCCAGATCTATACTTTGTACAGGAGGAGCACAATCTCTTTTCTGGTGGACCACTATAACTTGAAGATTCTGAAAAGCGCGTTTTCTCGCGTTTTCCAAAGGGATTTATACATCAAAGTATTAGTTTACTACATAATGATCGAACAAGAGAGTATCACCCTTAGATAAAGACGAGAAACGGGGTCTATACATTGCGTAGTTAAAAAAGTCGCGTTTCTGAAAATATTTGTATTCCAACCTTGGAAGTTTGGTGCTTTTCGGGCCCCAATGGGCACCTATCACGGCCTAGTGGGCTTTCCCCCGGGGCCATGCGGCCCCGAAGGTCGGGCCAAAAGCCCAGCCTATTTGCGGAGTGGTTGAGCTGGGTTATGGCTTTTGTGGGATTTGCAGAGCGCTATAACACCCTGGCCGGCACTATCACAGCCTAGTGGTCTCAATTTCCCCGATCCAAATCTTAATTAGCCTTGCTTACTTAATTACTTGTAGGCATACTCCACTTGGGGGCTGTATCGATCCTCCGCCCCCTGGCCTGACATCGGAGTTTCTTGCGGAGGAAAGTAAGTCAGAGCCTCAGTATGTACTTGTATAAAAGGTGCTCGCGGCACCGGTACTGCCAGTCTCGATCAAATCCATCCATTGTTTCAACATGTTGAGTGCCTTTCTTTTCGTCGCTGGGGCCCTGGCTGCCCGTGCCCACCCTCATCAATTCGACCCGTCGGCATATGCTGCAGAGGATGTCATCGAGCGGGACTTTGCCATTATCGGCGGAGGAGCAGCAGGCACCTATGCAGCAGTCAGTCTCGCCGATCAGAACAAGACCTTCACCGTGGTTGAAGTGACGGACCGACTCGGTGGAAACACCCGGACTTTCCGCGACGAGGCCACAGGGGTCAGCATCGACATTGGCGTGCAGCTCCATCAAGACATCCCCATCGTCCGTGACTTTTTCAAGAGGTTGAACTCGCCTCTAGCGCCTTTCCAGCCTTCGGATTTCGGAAACCCCAAGTACTACGACTTTGACAAAAAAGTGGCCCTTCCGAACCACACCCGGCCGAATATCGAGGGCGACTATGTGGCCGTGCTCAACAAGTATCCTTTCCTCGACGATCTCAATAACCTACCGAAAAATGTGCCCAAAGACCTGCTTCTGACCTGGCCGGAGTTTGCCAAGAAGCAGAAGCTCTCCCCTGCATCGGCTGAAGCAGGTCTGCTATGGCCAGCGACCCCTGGCAATCCCCTGGACACCACCGCGCTGGCCATCTTTAACGACGGCAACCACGTTGAATTGGCGGAGTACAGCGGAGCAGCGGTTCGCAGTGCCACTCACTACAACTCCCAGATTTACGACAACGCCCTGGCCGAGTTGAAGGAGCATGTCTTGCTGAAATCCTCCATCATTGCAGCACAGCGTGGATCCTCCTGCAAGGACGGAGTGCGACTCGTGGTCAACACTCCCTCTGGCAAGAAGCTCATCAAGGCCAAGCAGCTCATCATTGCTATGCCACCAGTCTTGGACAATACCAAGTACTTTGGTCTCGACCAAAAGGAATATTCCATCCTGAGCAAGCTCTCTGGCAAGCACTACTACGCGGGCGTGATGAACAATACCGGGCTCGAGGCGGGAGTTGCTTACACCAACGTCGGCGAAAACACACCGTACCACGTCGCTGGTCTTCCTGGAGTGGTAGAGATTGCTGGTGCAGCTACTCCTGGGTACTTTTTCTATTGGTACAACTCGGTCGACCCTCAGACACAAGAAGAGATTGAGGAGGTCACTCGAAACACCATCAAGTGGCTGCAGAGCGAGAGCGGTATCGAGCCCGTGGAGCCAACGTTCCAAGACTTTGCGGATTACTCGCCCTTCCATTTGAGTCCCCCGACTCGCGACATTGCAAATGGCTGGTATGGCAAGATGAAGGGCCTCCAGGGCCACAGGAACACTTGGTATATCAGCTCGCTATTTGTTGCTGGCTCGACTCAGATCTGGACCAACACTCACAACATCCTTCCGGACATCATTCACGCTGCCCAGTCGTGATGTACCGATACTGTTACCTGTTGAGATTGTGCATGGGTTTCCAGCATTTGCCTTGAGATATATTCTAATTAAGAAGTGTATATACCACTATTACAATGAACTTATTACTATCATTATTGTCATTCCGCAGGCCTTTTACGAACTTAGGTAGTATGCAGCCCCTAGCTAAAGTGTCCTCCCCCATGATGGGTTCATCCCTACGCGACAAAATTATCAAAGTGGGAGCCCACCGATCTAATAAGCAGGCGGTGCTGCCCGTCCCATCTTGTGCACCGAAGCAGGAACTGCTGGACTGACTCGCGCTCAACACCACACCCGCACCGATCTCCACCACTCTGGCTAATTCGATGAAGATATCCCTTCTGTCTTACGTGTCTAGTGCGGAGCTGCGCTAAGATCGACACTTTTCTCCTTTCTAGGTATTTATGTAGTATTTTGTACGAAGCCTCGGCGGGGCTGATTTTAATTGACGTGTAAATTGGCTAGTGATGGACTGTTGAGAATAGTCGTTTCAGTGTTATGTATTCACCCGTGCCTATTGTGATGCTGATGCCCGTAGACGTCCCTTGGTTTCTTCCGCTGGAGGTTTTAAAAGAGCCTTAGCGCCTATTTCCATTAATTGATTGATTGCTTCGGTAACTCCAGTGATGACAGGTTGGCTGCCCTGGAAGTGTGCGCTTCGGGAGATGAGCCCACTGTCTATCGTGTATGGTAATCGACAGACACAATTGTTTTTTGCTTTCTTGTGATAGGCAAATCAACTGAGTTGGCGTTGAGGGGCAGGAAGAGGGTCAAGGAAAGCGGTGATCCTTGTGGCAGACCTGCGCGCTAGGAAAGTAGCTCAGCAGGAGAGATGTTTGGAGGATTTCGACAAGCCTGTGTCTTACGGGGAGCCAAGTTCGCCGTCAAACAACCGTTGACAGTTCGTCTGGTCCGGGAGCTTCCTATGGCGCCGTGCTCATTAGAGCTGCTTCGAATTTATGTGTGGTTATTTCTTCCATCGGGAGGGTATTGGGTTGTGGCAGGACCCTTGGTGGCTTATTCTGAATATCGAGCAGCGGGAGAAAAGCCCCTTGAGTAGTGCATAAGCCCTCCCGTAGCCATCGCCAATCATCCCCTTCCTCAAGTGTAGAGCAAGGATCGTTCCAATGGCGTGATCTTCAGGCCCAAGGTCCTCAAATAATTAGAATGGGAACTGCAACCGGCATTTGATTGGAGATACGGAGGGCTGAGGGGCTTGTACCACCGAGGCGCTTGCATCTAGGGACGCAAAGCCACGCTTTTCTTCTTGGGACTACCGCCGACGATTCGCCGCAACTATCCCCGCGGGCCGCGGATTTGACTGATAAAACTTGGAATACACAATTTCGGTTGCTAATATGTAGGCACCAGTAAGATCGTGTGGCTCCCGCACGGGCCACAACATAAGCATCAGCTAGGGTCAGAGGCGTGTGCGAGATTTTCGCTTTTGGCCTATATTGGACTGTGCTCTCGGGATATAAATTGATTGGACGTCAGAAACAGGAGAAACCGATGGTGTAAACTACTCCGTACATTGTAGACACGTGGAGTTCATGGCTAGGTAAAATTAAAGCGATGTAACCTCAGGTGGCCTGATCGAAGTGGCCTGATTGAAGGGAGATATCCGCATTCTAGAATAGGTCAACCGCAGGACGCAGGTCGACGGAGCTCTGTGTTCACAGGCTGGGGCCGGGAATTTTCCGAGGTCACGTGTCTATGTCTTATCTTATCTGCAATCCACTCACCTTTTGTAATTTACGGTATTTCCAAAACCTTCCCCATGAGTCAGTCGCACCTGCACAACCCAGGTCTGGGTGGACATATCCAACCTGGAGCCGGATTCAAGTCTCCGAGTCCGGTTGGGTTCTTGTGATCGCCTAGGGGGTGGCAGGGTATAAGACATGCGAAATTCCCCGTATCGAATTCTAGTTCTATCTTATTGGAATATGTGTACTTTTCTATAAGGCTACATGCTGAAGAACATCATTACTGCCAAATCGGGGTGTAATAAACTCCTTCATTGATTATCTCATTGAGTAACTTGCACATGCCTCACCACTCTGGCTCGGGACAGGCCGTATACGGGGCCTGGAATCTCCCGCCCCCAAGTCTGCCACACTAGGAATCCTTCGGCCACACAGGCGATCATGTCACACATCAGCAGAGCCCACTGGTGGATAGCAAAGTCCAAGGCGTCAACGACATCAATGCTTGCAAGCCTATACACAGACTTTGTTGGAGTTGGCGACACGAGGAATGGACCAATGGCAAAAATGCCTCAATTACAACTTCGGCCAGTGTGAAGGGGCCAAAGGAAGGTAAGCGTACGAGAGGAGATTAGACCAAAGGGGCCAAACTCGAGTAAGTCAAAAGAGGCGAGAAAATGGGACTAAAAGCAGGAATCGACCGTGAAACAGAAGCATCTTACCGTTGGCTAAGGCGAGGCTCGGAAGCTAAGCCAGGTCAAGCTCCACCGGCCAAGCGTCCTGAAAAAGGTCGTATTCAGCGTTACACGGCGCCCTTGAAGCGGTTCTACAGTCGGCTGTGCGGTATTCGCAGCACAGCTGGGCATGGTGATAGGCTGACGTGAGATACAGTCAGCGATCGGTCCCACCCTGTCTAGGCCGCTCAGTAGACCGGGCGGGACCGCCAAGAAGGCGGACCGGACCGTGTCCAGTCTTTGGCCCCCGGTCCCGCTAGCCCTAGCTTGAGTATCTCACCCGAACCAGTGAAGCGATTATCGTATCCGCTTACTTGACTTTCTGGGAATTAGTCTGAGTCTTGTTCTCAATAGAATGACGGTATTTTAAAAAGATTTCGGAGTCTACTCCGTATTTCTGTCTCCATGTAAGGTACGGGGTAACTTTGGTATTAATTCAAATGTTTTTTTTTATTAATTATATACTCAATAAAAATAGAAAAGGTTATTCATATATTGTTGATGTCAAGCAATAGGAAGCGATAAGACTCAATAAATTATCAATCCAGATTCCCCCTCCCTGAAAGAGGAAGACCGATTGTATACTCCACAGACCCTTTCAAGCAACCATGGCGGGCCAACAGCGACAACAGCCGGGAATCGCAGTAGGCCTCATCGCCCATGCGGAGAGTTGGATAGTATGATACTGACCCTTTGAACGCAGTGCGAAGAGTGTCGACGACGAAGAATCCGCTGCGATAGGATAAGACCTCAATGCACAGCGTGTGCTACATCCGGGGTGGAATGCATAGTGCGAGACAGCTGTCCGCCTCGAGGGCCCAGAAAAGGATATCTCAAGACGCTACAGAAAAAAATAGAGGAGCTCGAGGGCCAGTTAGAAAGACAGGGGACATCTCCAGCACCAACCTACCAGACCGCGGACAACGACAGCGGCACAGACAACAACGAAAACCATGCCACAACACCCGAAGCGACAGATATACTGCAATGGCCGGCAGGACCGGTAGAATTTCCATTCCCCACGGTAGAGCCCTGGGGATGTTTCGATAATCCGTATACGAGCTCGTACTTTGAGTTGCCGCCAATGGACGGTGTGCCAGAGTTGGTCCAAATTCCAATGGAACCCGGTCTCGTGATCTCTCCCATGATGCATAATGATTTGTATGTACCTAGATATTATCCTCGTTGGACGACAGTGCTAATATGGCGAAGAGACCAGCTGTATTTCGACCGGGCGTATGCGTTTGCGCCAATCATCCATACTCACCGCTACCGATCATGGTCGAAACAACCAAACAAGTGCAAAAAGAGGACATGCCTACAGTACGCAATGTGGACGTTGGCCTCATCACTCTCCAGTCAGTTTCAGGTTCAATGTCACAAGTTTTACGCGGAAACGAGGCAGCTTCTGCACGAACTCGAAGCAGAGGAGCCCTGCCACCAAATCTCCCTAGAACAAACCCAGGCGTGGGCCTTGTTTGCAATCTACGAGTTAACTTGCCAGGACTTCCACCGAGGCATGATGTCCGCCGGCAGAGCTTTTCGCTTGATTCAAATGATGAGACTATACGAGCTCGACATGCCTCGAACCCCTCACACCATGCAGCTAGACCAGTATCAAAGGCCACTCACTCCGAGCCAGGATGACTGGATCGATATTGAAACAAAACGAAGGACCTTTTGGTTTGCATATTTAATTGACCGCTTCACAAGTATGGTGGATGGGCTACACATGTTCTTTGACGAACGGCTGGTCAGTCTTGAGTGCTCTGTGAAAAAAAAACAAACACATATTTACTCAATCTAGATACGAGTACGGCTGCCGACTCCTGAAGCAAACTTTGCAAGCAATCGCCCAAAAGAGATGGGTTTCCTCGCGGACGTGGTCCCGGATGTCAGCGTCGAGTGGCCACATAACAGCTTATCGCCGTTTGCAGAGTGTATCATCGGTGCCACAATGTGCGGGCGAGTCCTCCAGCATAAGCAGAACGCCCCGATCAGACCGTCCGAAGAGTTTTGCAGCCGACATCGAACTCTGAATGTACTACTGGCGCAACGGATTAGGATGCTGCGAATCTACGCATCACTGGAGTACCCGGATCCCATTATCGCCTTTGTTGCCCTGGCGGCACAGATTGATGTGCTTATGCTCTACGACCTCATTGAATCCAAGCCATTAGGGACCGGCGTGGAAGGAACGCAGCTTGCTCGAGCCCTCCATGCAGAGCACCAACAACAAGCCCTGGATGCCGTGACCGATATCTCTCTACTAGTGGCTGTACTTGGCCAACACTTCCAGGTAAGCCTAACCGGCTGTGATAAAAGTGTAAGCTGATTGCTAATAATAGCAGATGCACCCTTTAACCCCAATCCTGCTCCTCCTGGGCGCCCGATTTTCACAATCCCCCCCCGAGCTGAATGACGCCTATATCAAGCTTATGCCCAACATCTTGGCAATGCTGGAAGCCTCTACGGGCCTCAATAAGCTTGCACAGAACTACCTTCAGCTCTTAAAACCCCCGGGCGATGTTGCAATCTACTCAGTGCGATAAGAAAGGAGTGAGATCATTAGATGCCGAATCGACAATAATGAAGCTTTTCAGTATGTAGCCATTATATAGAAATATACGCGTTGTATGGCAATTAGATAAAATTGTGTATCTCTCTGATACAGGACATTTTGCAATTCCTTTACCTTATCACCTCATAGAAAGCCTAGATACAGATTTGCCAACAAAACTCCTAGTAAGCGACTTATTCCGAGATCTATGTGACCCTTGAGCACGTATTTGCCAGTACGTATCTTGTAGAGTCTGCCACAGTGGCTAGGATTGCCACTTGTATGCAAGCATGGTGATACGTCTTGAAGATAAGGCATCAATTAGGATTCCGCTTGGTTTGCTACTTGATACCTATCTAGATTTCGGATATATAGGCGACCAATCAAAGCCGTTTGAAATCTCTTGTTATTCAGGTACCTGGGTAGCAGGGGTGATGCATAGGCGTTTGCTGTCATTGGCTGACAATTGTATCGGACTGCCCGCGTGGCAAGACACCAGCAGGCGTGCATTAGTGTCGGATCTAAATCTACTGAATATTTTCCGGTCTTCAGATCCTCGGATGAACGGCCGAACGCCGAGAGCACGGGCTAGGAACAGCATTTTCCGCATTGAGACATGGAGCCCAAAATGGCCCGCCCGAGTACTCGGGACACGCTAGTTCAGGTCATACGAGAGACTATTCAGACCCCACGTCAGCGTCAAGAGGAATGAGGCTAGTTTTGCACCCTTGTCCTTTTCTGCAAGTCAACGACATGGGCACGGAAATATGCCCCGTCAGGACCGGACCATCAAATCGGTCCGGAGTACTCCGTATTCGGAATACGAACGGCTGGTAAAGGTATAGCTGTAAGAAAAATAGGCTTCTATTGGTGCGAGAGGCCTGATGGTCTCTACCTATATATATTATATACACACAAGAATAGCAACAAAGACACAATCGGCAACTGTTAATTGTTCACAATCTAATTTAGAGGGTAGGTATCTCGACTAAGCCTGGAAATATTTGCTCTTCTCCGCCACCAAGCCAGCCAACGCATCAAGACTGGCCGTCTGAATGATATTGAAGATGGAAATATCCGCCGACGCCTGCAATGCAAGCATATTTCTTAACTCCACCGCAATTAGCGAGTCGACTCCAAAGTGGGCCGGTGGCTTGCTCAGGTCGATCTCCGCTATCGGGGTCATGAAGATGTCCGCAAGCTTCTCCGCAATAGCCGCTCCGATGAGCCGTGCTCCGTCCTGCAGGTCATTGGCCTCTGCCAACTGCGTGGCAAGCGAGGCACTAGTATTTTCACCGTCCTGTCGGGCCGACGCCTTGACGTGGGGTCGCAGCGTTGCATAGCGCGCATCACGGCCGAGCTGGGAACGACCGTTGGGATCCCAGTGCGGACCCGGAGAGGAGGTGAGGCCGACGATGATTTGAGACCGGCCCAGCGGATGTAGGACCGCAGCGTTGAGGGCACGGAGAACAATGTCCTCGTCAAGCATGGCAAATTCACCTTCCTTGCGTAGACGCTCGGCGACTCTGGTGTCTGTCGAAACGTAGCCAATGTCGGAAATAGGACCCAGGTCAATGGCCACACCGGGCAGGCCCTGAGATTGGCGCCAGCGAGCCATGGCGTCTTCGTAGGAGCCACCGGCGGCGTAGTTGCTTTGGGATGCAATGCCCACCACGCCCGAGATAGACGATAGCATAACGAAGAAGTCGAGAGAGTCTGGTCGCGAGAACTCGGTGTGTAGGTTCCAGGTGCCGTATAGCTTAGGACTGAGGCCACTGCGCCAGTCGTCGAATGTCATCTGCTCGAAGATAGCGTCGCGCAGTAACATGGCACCCTGGATGACGCCGCGTACTGGAGGGAAGCCGTCGTCTTCACAGGCTCTGAGAGCCACGGTCAGTGAGCTAGAGAGCGAGACGTCGCAGCTGACGGGCTTGACTCGACAGCCCATTTGACGCAGTTCGTTAATGAACAGTGTCCCGTCACTGTTTTTATTCCGCTCGAGATCGAGATTGCCAGCACTGCGAGAAAGTAGGATCAGGTGCTGCGCACCGTGAGCCACCAGCCAGTGCGCAACTGAACGCCCAATACCGCCAACACCTCCCACGATGAGGTAAGATGCATCGGATCGTAGTTGAGTTCGAGCTGTTACACCCTTTGGTCGAGGGACGACGTAGACCTGTTCGTCCGATCCAGCTGAGAGGACAACTTTACCCATCTGGTCGCCTGTTTGAACAAAGCGGAAAGCTGCCTGGATTTCTTGCATGGGGTAAACTGTAACAGGGTGAACCGGCTTCACCACCTGCTGTTCGACGAGGCTGGCGAGCTCACCAAGTGCACGGTGCACATCTGCTCCTCGGCGCTGCAAAAGGGTAGGGATGTCCATTGATATAAATGAGATACCGCGAGAGAAAGACTCGAGTGCCATCAGGCTGTTGCTCTCAATGTCTACCTTGCCAATTTGCATCAAATAACCGAGAGGTGCAACTGTCTTGAGACTTTCCTGAAGTAGCGGGCCAGAAAGTGAGCTGAGCACGAGGTCCACACCGCGTCCCTTGGTAGCAGCAAGAACCGCTGGGGCAAAGGATGCGTCGCGGCTGGTGAAGATACGCTCAGAAGAAATGCCATATTCGCGCTCGAGGAGCTCTCGCTTCTCAGGGGAGCCGACTGTAGCGTAGATCTCTGTGACACCCAAGTGCTTGGCCAGCATGATTGCGGCCTGTCCAATTGCTCCGGCTGCAGCATGGATGAGAACTGACTGCCCAGCTGTCAGACTTGCGCTCTTAACGAGAGCAAAGTAGGCAACTGTAAAGGCCAGGGGAAGCGATGCAGCGTTGACAAAGTCCATGTCCTTTGGCATCTGGATGACCCCATGCCATGGAACGCGGACATTGCTGGCAAAAGATGTGCCTGACGAAAGGGCTAAGACACGGTCACCGACCCTGTAGCCTTTGGCCTGAGCCTCGGAACCAAGTCGCGCAACGATACCCGCGCATTCAAAGCCCATGGATTGATCCTTGAGCTGGCCCATGGCGGCCATGACATCGCGGGAGCAAGCCCCGTGAGCTCGAGGGGTGATCTCCACAAGTTCTGGTGATAGATCTCCATGGGTTTGATCATTGTCAACGAAAGCGAGCGTGTCCATGTGTCCTGGGATGCCGACTTGCAACTGGAGTTGTCGGTCCTGGAAGAGGCGCTCTAAGGGAATGCTGCTCTCGTCCTGGTCACTCCAGCTTGGCACAAGCGGGCCAGTCACCATGTTGTTGTATTTTTCATCCTTGTAGTAGCGGGGAACATGCAGGACACCATTTCGCTCGGCGTACTCGAACTCGGCTGGACCAGTTTGAGTGCTGCCATGCCCAAAGCCCTCCTCGAGGACCTGGACGATGGCCGAGACGGCGAGATCTGCGCCCGAGGACAATCCGGCTGCAGTTGCCTCTGCATGAGCAGGGTCAAGGTCCACGGAGATCAAGCGGCGGCTGATGTATTCGTTGCGCAGTACACGCAAGAAGCCCTGGTGCAAGGCCCGTTCGGGAGCCTCGATTTCAACAGTTCCACCAGTCGTGACCCAAAGCAAGCCACTACATTGCGTGACCATTGCGCGGAGATTTTCCATCCGCCCTGCATCGAGGTCCGCCAGAATGGGCCGGTCAATCTCGCCAATAAACACACAGATCTTATTCTTGTATGTATCGCGGCTGCTCTTTTCCAACACGAGGTGCGCTGTGGCGGTACCGGTCAAGGCCTGAATGCGCTGGCATAACTGATCGACAATGGCGGTTGATGGAGGTGTTCTGATGCTGGAAACGACCGCAAAGCTGTCTTTAACCTTGCTCAAGTCGGGTTTCTGGTCCGCGGCAGGCACAGTGGACATGATTACGCTGTTGCTGCGGATATCGCCCTCCGAGTCATGAATTTCAAGGTCAATGCCACTAAAGCCCGCATCTCGAAGCACGGTGTCCCAGGACGAGGCTGGTTTATTGTCCTGCAACCAGCCCGGAAGTAAACCAAAGACGAAATCCGTATCAACCTGATTCTTAGTCGTCTCCGCAAAGAGCAGCGTGCCCCCTGGCTTCAGCAGAGTGCGTGCATTTGCCAGTGCACTTGCCGGGTCCTCGACATTGTGTAGAGCATGCAAGGATACAACAAAGTCGTAGCTCTCTGGGGTAAACTTCTGCTTCGATGGACTTTGCTCAATATCAAGTTGGTCAAACTCGAGCAAGTCGGCCCACTCGGCAAGTTCAGCACGCGCGTCCTCCAGTAATTCTGGAGATTGCTCAGTGATGTGCCAGCTGACCAACAAGTTCGTGTCAAGGGACTCCAGTATGCGGCGTGTGGCGAGAGTACCAGTACCGCTCCCAATTTGGAGGACGCTGGCACCTGGGCTCGTGTGTGCAATTGTTTGTAGCAGAGCAGAGAGCTGCTTGATGGATGATGACTGACGCATTGAGTTTGCGTTGTATTCATCAATTAAGGTACTGACTTCTTCCACGCTGCGTTCACCGCGGAGGATAGATGCGAGGAGGGGCCCAAGACCGCCAATCACCTTCTCATCAACGCTCTCCATAGACGGCTGAGACTTTCCAGACTCCTCGGTAGTTTGATTGACCAACCCACGTAGGAATTCATAGTATTTAGCCAAATGTGGCTGTTCCTGCAGTCCGGCCACATCGCCCGGAGTCAGTTCTCGCAGGGCACCAGAGGCATAAGCAATGCACAAGCGCTGGAGATCCTTGACAACATCTAGCTCTTGATCGGAGTTTTTCGGCACCAGGTTCTGTTTGATTTGTTTGAAAGCCAGCGGGTTCCGAATCGAAAGGGCAGGTTCCCACACAAGCTTGCTGCACACCTCCTCCATCGAGGTGCTGGCTGAGCTGCCCCTTCCCAGCGACGCCAGCTCAACGCCCTGCATCTTGAGCACTACGTCGTCTGTTTTGCCATCAAATACTGTGATATCGGCCCTCCCGCGTTGGGGGTCGTCATGAAGTAGGGATG